AGGCGGAGACAAGACCAGTCACCCTGCACAAGGAGAGAGAGCAGCAGTAACTGGTCTTCATTACAGGAGGGGGTGGAGACAAGACCAGTGACCGGTCTTTATTACAGGAGGAGCAGAGAGTAGATCAGTGACCCTGCACAAGGAGAGAGAACAGCAGTGACCGGTCTTTATTACAGGAGTGGTCGGAGACAAGACCAGTCACCCTGCACAGGGAGAGAGAGGAGCAGTGACCGGTCTTTAGTACAGGAAGAGGTGGAGACAAGACCAGCCACCCTGCACAAGGAGAGAGAGCAGCAGGGACCGGTCTTTATTTACAGGAGGGGGTGGAGACAAGACCAGCCACCCTGCACAAGGAGAGAGACCAGCAGTGGCCGGTCTTTATTACAGGAGGCGGCGGAGGCAAGACCAGCCACCCTGCACAAGGAGAGAGACCAGCAGTGGCCGGTCTTTATTACAGGAGGCGGCGGAGGCAAGACCAGCCACCCTGCACAAGGAGAGAGAGCAGCAGTGACCGGTCTTTTATTACAGGAGGCTCCTACACAGATGCAAAGTACAGGAGTTGTCATGATGGATTACTGCACATATCTGGAAGAAACACACAAAGCACACCAAGATTTCATGAAGAACACTCAGGACTCTTGGATTTGGATTTCTCAGTATTTGTTTTGCTGGAATTTCTGCTTCAATGTGACCGTATGTGGCCCCCGGAGAAATCCTGAGAACTCCCCATTTGTAAAACAACCATCAATTAACTGATCTTCAGCTTGCAAACTTTCTTTACCAGGAAGTCGTAATAGAGAGGGACAAGAATGATTCAGTCTCGCCAACATAGCAGCGGACACGACCTGCCTTTGTTTTAGTCTCACCGTGTCATATGGAACAAATTAAACAGATGACTTTTCCTCCAGACAATCGTCTTGTGTTACACCCAGATGCCTTCTGTGTAACCTAGGAGAGTCTGCGCTGAAAATTCTCCATGTTAGTCTGGATGTCGATTCCCCCTGTGAATGAAAATACATTGGATTTATTATTTTGCCTTGTGTCAGGAGCGGTGGCGGCACTTTGTTTGGTTTGCTTCGTCCTGGCCCATAGACTAATGCCGATAATTATCTCTTCCATTGCTTATGCCAGGGGTGGACAAATTATTATTTTCCTAATCGATTAGTTGGCCGATTTTCGATTAATCGGATAAAATAAATGAAATCAACACCATCCTTAATTTTAAATTAAAATACACAAACGCCGTGTTACAAACATAAAGTTTACTTGCATTTACTGCATGCACAATGTTTTGCAATCGCACTGCACTGGAAGGCACGGCATAGCGGTACTGTTCGTTCCAGTGCCACGAATGGCACTGCAACGCACCTCCTGTAGCAGAATTTGTCAGGCCGATACCGAAAATGACTCCCCCCACCTTTTATAATTATTTTTTAATTGTATTGTAAGCACATGGCGCTTGATTAGCTTCAGCCAGGGAATGACTGCTGCCGGTGGCAAGATTCCGAAAATGGCAGCTGAATGTAAATACAGAAGGTAGTGGGCGGGTGCCAAAACCTGCTTGCTATTGGCCATTTCAAATTGCAATAGCCAGTAGCAGGCTGGCCATTGCACCCACCCACTGCTTGCTGTGCCCCCCTCCGTGCGTGGAGGAGAGAGCTAGGGGATCCAACCAACTGATCAATGATGAAAATGGTTGACAACTATTCTCATTATCGATTAGTTGGTTGTAGCCCTATAAATGAATATGGAGTTCAGGAGCCAGTCTGTATAATCCAGGAGCCAGGAGGATTTTTTTTTTCAGGAGCCAGCTCCATAAACAACATTAGAAAACCTCAGAACTTAGAAGCCAGCTGTCATTTTTAAGAAGCATTGGCTACCTGACTCCTGTGATTTGTCCAGCTGTGCATTGGGGGTTTATATCGCCTCTGCTTTTCGGGTAATGCAGATTCCTCAATCTACAGCTAACCGTCCTGCTGCCATCGGGTTTCTGACCGTTCTGAACCAGAAAGTGTTCAGAGCAAGGCCATCTTTAGTATTGATTGGACCCTGGGCAAACACGTTCTTGGCCCCCCTACCCACCTGAGCCATGCAATTTGTAGATGTCAGAGGGAGATGTCACACGTTCATGTTACATGGCGTACTGCAGGGGCGGAGCTACATTATGCAATGACTATTGAATTGTAAACAGCAAGGTACCGCGTGTGTATCTTTTGCGGGCTCTAGGGGCAGCTGCTTTGGGCCCCACAACAATGACGGCCCCTTTTTGCCCTGCATTAAAGTCAGCCCTGCTTCAAGGTAAGTGTTTCTGGGTTCATTCAGCCTAGAGGTAGCCGCAGATTAGAAGTTCAGCCATCTCCTCCTGGTCTTCATCCTGAATCCTCCTGCAGTGGTGCCGGGCTCAAAGAGGACAAAGGTGATCCTGGGGACCACAAGAGCAGAGCCGGCTTTGTTGATTGCTTTTTGCTGGGTGGTCATCAAAAAAAATCCCCTGGGGGGAAAAAAAGACAGGAGGACTTCCAGAACATACGGTTATTAAAGCTTTTCTCATGCTGTCACATAATTGGATTACTGTATGTGTACATGTTTGGGGTCAGAATATTGTAAATCCTTTTGTCAATGTTCTGAAGCTGAACTAGGACGGAATACGTTTAAGTTCATATTTGGATTTCTATTTTTTCAGTCCTGTGAGTTAGAGGACCCGTCCATGCAGCTCAGTCAGGTTGGTGACTTGGCGGTATAGCAAAGCAATCCTGGTCACCCCACTGCTCACAGCTTATGATTGGACAGTGATGGAGCAGCCGCATACTGATGAGCTTATTTCTCCAGTCGCTATGCTCTCTCATGCTCTCTCATCCTATCAGAATGTTCAGTATATGCAGAACGCCTGATCCCAATCCTGCCTCCCCCTCTCTCAGTCTCAGTTCTGCTGTACAGGGGATTACAGGGGGCTGATGGCAAGCCTAATTCATGTACTTAACACTAGTTGCCTCTTTAACCCCTTCATGACTGAGGCCTTTTCATTTTTTGTACCCATGTTATATTCCACATTTTAGGCCTGAAAATTACTTAAAACCCCCAAACATTATATATTTTCTGAATGCCAAGACCCTATAGAATAAAATGGTGGTAGTTGCAAATTTTTATGTTGCGCAATATTAGCGCAACTCCTTATTAAACCCCAATATTTAGTGAAAAATGTAATTAAATGCCCCAAAATACCCATTTTTATAATGAAATATAAAAGATGAGGTTACAACGAGTAAAACGATTTCAGCTCCCCGCGGACATCAAGATCGCCGGTCCCGTAGGAGGGGCAACGGAGCCCGGGAAGCACGGCGGGAGTGTCCGGCGGGGGGGGTGGCCCCTTCTTCGGGACGCAGAAGCGATCTGGCGACAGGTAAGTCGCCAGGATCGCTTCTGTTGTAAAGCCGACAGTCGGCTCTACAAGTTTAAACAGAGTCCCGGCGGCAAAAGTCACCGGGAGTCAGTTTAAACAGCCCCGATGCTGGCAACGTACACTGTACGTCGTCAGTCACGAAGGGGTTAAAATACATTTGATGATTTTTTTTTCTATAATACATACATAATTGCAATATTTTTTTAATTACATTTCCCGTTAATCTGGCTTTTAAAGGATAAGCGCAATTTAAAACACAATGGGGGGAATTTATCAAAGCAGTTGCGAGTGTTTGAACTTGCACAGAAAATATTTGCACCAGATTTATCAAGCTAGTGTAATGTTGATAAATGAGGTTTAATAGACTCCAAGAAAGAAGACTTGTAACTTCAGGCAAAAAGCTTAACTGTCGCATCCTGAAGAAGTGGTCATGGGGACTTCTTAAGTTGTGAGTGTTTTCTTAGGTGATGCTCCAGTTTTAGACAGCAGCAGGACAAGTGCAGAAGAAAACACGTGCAAAAACAATGCAACTGAAAAAGTAGTGCAAGCTCTGAAGAAAACAGATGCAAAACACGTGCAATTGGAAAAGTAGTGCAAACTCTGACGAAAACACGGGGCACATGTTAAACGACAGATTTGCACATAAAAAACAAAATGATCTAAGAGGCTAAAACTGTTGCAAGTGCTTTGATAAATTCCCCCCAATGTGCTTCTCCTTTACGACCCATGACTTAACCCCACCCAACTCGCCCTCCTCCGCTGCATACTTCCCTTAATGCAAGGGCTGCCATTCAGCTGTTTTGCTTACATCCAGCAGTGCAAGTCTTCGCTATCTTGGCCATGCCTGTGCTTTAGCACCCCATAGACTTCTATGTGTCCCAAAGTCGGGCACAGTCTCATAGGAGTCTCTAGGGCTGTAATATGCAGGCATGGCCGGGGCAGTGAAAACTTGCTGCGCTGGATGTAAACAAACAGCGGAAATGCGTCTGTCAGGTCAAGGTAAGTATGCATCTGTGAGGGAGAGGGGACAAAAAGGATAAGGGCAATTTGTTTTTAAAGTGCACTTATCCTTTAAATTAGGGATGCACCGATACTAGTATAGGTATTGGTGCCGATACCGAGTATTTGGGCGAGTACTCGTACTCGGCCAAATGCTCCGATACTTACCTCCGATACTGGAACTTCCGGTCAGAAGGAGATTTCCTCTGACCGCCATTGCCACGAAGCAACATGGAGCTGGCTTACTGGGCAATCAGGAAGCTGGGCCACGGCTAATGACTCGTGGCTCGGCTTCCTGATTGGCTGGGAAGCCGGTTTCCCAGCCAATCATCATCGAGCAAGCCAAATAGCATGGAGCTGGCTTCCTGGCTCATCAGGAAGCCTGGCTGTGGGTAATGAACCGCCTCAAAGCTTCCTGATTGGCTGGGACGCCGGCTTCCTGGCCAACATCTCTTGCCTTGAAGAAGGGACCCTGTGTGGCCCCGAAACGTCGGCTCATGTTGGATTTCTGTGACATCATTGTCCATTAAAAGGACTCATTCATTTTAACTTATGGAGTGCTGGTGACCCATTTCTTCAATCTTTTTGTCCCTTTTTACAGATTTCAGAACTGAATTCTTCTTCATGATCTGAGCCCAACATCTCTGCTGTGCCTGCGCTGCAGAGAATTCCCAGCAAGGAAGTGGGGAGGGGTAAGTGACATCTACCTCTACTGTATAAAACTTTGTGACCGCATCACTGCTGCGTGAAGTCATTAGCAATGGTGCAGAAGAAATAAGATTTTTTTTTTTCTTTTTCTTTCCTTTTTATTTTAATATTCTGCATCATTTTTTTTCCTTTTAAGATGCGCTTTAATAATCAGCCAAATCAGATTTATGCTTCCCTTTACTCAATGGCGTGGCTTCTTGCTCCACCTAAGTATATAAGCCAGTATGTCTCTGTTTACATTTAACCCTTTTGCTGCAGCCGGCGTATGCCATGTAAGCCCTCAGGGGCAGGGCCCACCTTACCGTCTTGTCTTGAATTGTATTGTAATGTCTTCCTTATATTGTAAAGCGCTGCGCAAACTGTTGGCGCTATATAAATACTATGTAATAATACATATGGGGGGGGGGGGGTGGTGTTGTAATCTTCAGGCCTAAAATTTGCGTTTTAACATGTGTCCAACAAAAAAAACGGCTCTGGCAGTGGAAGGGTTCAAAAGTAGTTAAAGTGACACTATGACACTAAACTCAGGAGTTTATTCTTAAAAACGCAATGAAGTACCCTATTAATAAAAATGTATCTTATTTGTGTGTCACTCGGCTGTAGGTCCTCCAATCATCTCTGAATTCATGCTGACACTTTCCTTCCTTCTGGAGGGGGGCTACTTTTTGTTCCCCATGGTCCTCGTGTGTGTTGTAAAGTAGTCACCGCTCCAAGCTCACTCCCGGGATGGACTACAATCTCATGTTTAGTTTACATACGGATGCACCGATAATGTTATTTCGATATCGAGTACGAGTACCAATATTTTTTTTCCGGTACTCACCAATACCGAGTACCGGAAGTCCCATTCAGGAAGCCAGGCAGCGTGTAATGACTCTCCACCCGGCTTCCCAAATAGCAGGGAAGCCGTCCCCATGCTTCTCACTAGGTGACGAGAAAGCATGGTTTTGGCTTTCTGGCCAATCAGGAAGCCGTGCGCTGTGTAATGAAGCGGCGCACAGGGTTTCTGATTGGCCGCAAAGCCGGCTCCATGCTTCCTCGTCATGAGGTGACGAGGGAGCATGAAGCCGGTTTCCCGACCAATCAGAAAGCCGGGCGCCGCGTCATTACACGGCGCCTGGCTTCGTGATTGGCCAGCTTTGGACCAATCAGGAAGCCGGCCAGCATGTAATGACGCGCTGCCCGGCTTCCTGATACCGGATGTATCGGGCTAGGCATCAGGGCGAGTACGAGTACTCGCCCAAATACTCGGCATCGGCACTGATACCGATACTGGTATCGGTGCACCCCTAGTTTACTAATTTGTATTGCGTTTGTAGTCCATCCCGGGAGCGAGCTTGGAGCGGTGACTACTTTACAACACACACAGGGACCATGGGGAAGAAAAGTAGCCCCCCTCCAGAAGGAAGGACAGTGTCAGCACCAATTCAGAGATGATTGGAGGATCTACAGCCGAGTGGTACATAAATAAGATACATTTTTGTTAATAGTTGAGGTACTTGAATGTATTTTTAGGATGAGTGTCACTTTAAATCCTTTTGTTTAAGAGTACACTCCGGTGAAAATAGAGAATTTAACTTTTAGATGCATGCAAAAAAACAAACAACCTTCTCTGCTCATCACTTCATCCAGGCATTGCTGTGGTGTACCGGTTCAACCGCTTCCTGTGGTCAGTAGTTTGGTAGTACTGGAACACACCTGTTTGATGTTGGCCATTGTAGGGTGCTTTCTATCTCTAACATACAGAATGACTTATGTACAAAAAAACAACAAAAAAATCGATTTGTCAGTACAAATGTTTTTCTCATCCACCAACTAGATATCATACTACCTTGGAATGTTTAATTTGCCTGGTGATGCAGTGAGGAGGAGTAGAGGAATATACACAGGTCAGTCTTTAGGATGTGCAATCCCTAACCCTGACCCTTACTCCCAGTGACGTTAAAGCTGGCACTGAGAACAAACTGTTAAATCAAGAAACTAAAAGGTTTCATAGTTGGATATCTAGGCACCTCTGCCTTAAAGGATATAGAAGAGTGTTGTATGTGTAGACCATAATTCCTGATGCTTGCCTTCTCTTGCAGGAGCCATGGAGGAGTCCCATTTTAACTCCTCCTATTTCTGGCCAGCTGTACCGACCGTGTCTGGGCAAGTAAGTGCATGTCAATATGAGACCAAATATGACTTCTAGATTTCTTATCTTTGTTTTCTACAGAATCTGAACATTTCCATGATTTACATCTAGTAATAGCATGAGCCATGCAGGGCAAAGCAACAGGTTCACTTAAAGGGTAATTCCACTTTCCCAGGCGAATTTGCAGAAATTGAGTTACCCCCACCAATCTGACCCCTTCGCTCACGCGCACCTGACTGCGTTGACCAATGAGAAGCGCTTTTTAGCAAGAGGTACATCTCATTGGTCAGCACGGCTACAAGTGACTGCTTGCCATTTTCTATCTAGATTTAAAATAGGAAGCGCAGGGCTGCGCTGCTGTGTATGGCATACCGATAGTACACAGGCAGCCGTGGAAGGGAAGGAGCGTTTGCTCCAAGGTAAAAGCAGCAAGGAGTGATTTCCATTTTCTCAAATTTGCCTTTTGGAAAGTGACTTTAGCCTTTAACTGTTGCCCCTCCCAAGCTGTGTCAAACTATCACAGCACTGAATATAAAAAAACTGGCCTGGTAATAACGGAATAATACTAAAGTGGTTAAATGGCTGCAAGTCATGAGCACAGTGTTCTGTGACTTCCTGCTCTGTGCCCAACTCCCTCTGTCTTGCTGAAGCTGACTGCTGTAAATACACTAGAGCTGTGTTGCTTTTGTTTCATTGTCCAGTCACAGGGTTGGGCAGGTCCCGGACCTGGGAGCAGTGCTGAACCACAGTGTTGTCTGCACAGAGGTCCAGGACCTAGCTCTGTGTTCTGGTAGGGGTGCTTGGACCTAAAGACTGAACGTATTCATGTCTTTGTGTGTGATTTAGTGTCTGACTCCTGTTTCCAATATTGGTAACCCCATGTCATTCATCTTAGCAGATAGATAACTCCATGTTCCTGAACAAAGTGAAAGAGCAGCTCATTCAGGAGAAGGGCTGCAATTTGAGCACACATTACCCCACACTTCTGACTGTGCCGACGTCGATGTCGATGTCTTTGCCTGCTGGGATCAGTCTGGATGGAGAGAACAAGGTGGAGATTCATGGAATCCCGCACAGCCAAGCTTCGGTCACGCAGAACATCACAGTCCTCCCTGTCCCCACAACCGGGCTCATGACCGCAAGTAAGAGCTTTCACTTTATGTATATTTACTATTTGTGTATCTTAGTGTTTCACTTATGTTTTCTGGGAAAACCAAGTGCTCTTGAAAGCAGAATTATTCACATTTTTATTTTTACATATATCTACTGCTAGCAAAAACCTAAAAAAAAATGTTACCAAAGAGGTAAAAACGTACCTGTGTCTATGCCACTCGCTCCCGGCTGTAAATTCCAGCTTCTCTACTGCGCAGTAGAGATCTTCAGCTGGGAGAAGAGAAGAGACAAAGTGGAGGTGAGTGAGTGCACGCAGGCGGGAGCGTGCACGTCGGACAGACACCGTGGGACACAAGGAGACTGCACTTGATTAGAGACCGGCACTAGCGCTGAAGGGACTCCTGAAAACTACTGGAAAGAAGATGAACGGATCAAGAGGCATCACTTAAGGTAAGTCCTTAAAGCAGCATTGTGGGGATGTGACTTTAATGTCACTTTAATAAAGTAGATCTACAGCGAAGAAACACCCGCTCCCTGCCCTGACCATCCTGTTCCTTTAACGTAGGTTAAAAATAGTTATTTTAGTACAGGGCCTCTTTTTAAAGGTGATTCTTCAAGAAAGGGCTACAACTGGGATGAGACTGTGACAGGGTATGTAAACTTTAGCAATGAAGAATCTAAAGCTGCAACCAACTAATCGATTTAATTGATAATGAGAATAGTTGTCAACTATTCTCATTATCGATTAGTTGGTTGGATCACCTAGCTCTCTCCTCCACGCTAGGAGAAGGGTACAGCAAGGAGTGGGCGGGTGCTATAGCCAGCCTGCTATTGGCAATTGCAATTTGAAATGGCCAATAGCAGTCTAGCTATTGCACCCGCCCACTACCTGCTGTATTTACATTCAGCTGCCGTCTGCGGAATCTTGCCACTGACAGCTGTCATTCTCTGGCTGACGCTATTCAAGCGCCATGTGCTAGCAATACAATTATTAAAAAAATTAAAGATGGGAAAGAAAGGAATTTTCGGCCTGACAAATTCTGCTGCCATTTCAGTGGCACCCCAAGCATTCCTCCCACCCACAGTGTGATTGCCTGCGCTGGAACGTACAGTACCGCAATTCCGTGCATTCCAGTGCAGTGCGATTGCAAAAAATTGTGCATGCAGTTTTATTCTGAAGAACACTTTGTAACACTGCATTTGTGTATTTTATTTTAGATGAAGGATGGTATTTATTTAAATTTTTTTAATCCGATTAATTGAAAAAATAGTCAGCCAACTAATCGATTATGAAAATAATCATAAGTTGCAGCCCTAGAAGAATAATTCCTTTTAATTAAAGAGCCTGTTTAATATTTCCTCTGACTTGCTGATGATCTGCTTTTCTGAAAAATATTCTCTTCTCTCAATACAGCTGGCCTGGTGATCACTTCCCCTTCTGGATCTCTGGTGACCACACCGTCCTCGTCCTGCCAGACGTTCCCCATCTCAGCCCCGTCTACCATGATCGTTTCTACTTTGCCTGGCACACAGACCCTACAAGTCATGTCTGAGATCGCCAAGGTTAAGCTTCCAGACGTTGGGGATGGGGGCAACCAAAAATCAGGGCGTGGCCGTAAGAAGAAGCGTATCCCAGAACCCACACTACCAGAGCTTCATGACCCTTATGACCTGTCAAATGAAGATGAAGACGATCATCCCAAAGATGGGAAGACATACAGGTGGGGAACTGTTCTACTGCAATGTGTACAGAGAGAAATGGTACAGACGATGGACCAGTGTGGACAGGTTTTCTTTGCTTCAGAACTGCTATTCTCCCTATATGTCAATGGGAATGCAGAAGCAGGTCGGGAGGCCAATTAAGCCTGCAGTAGAGAAGTGTCTCAAACTGATGTCAGAGGGAAGCTGCAGGTTGCCCATAGACAAAAGACCAAAGCCTGTCGACACTGTGCTGCATGCCCAGCGTATACAATAAAATATTCCATGTTATATGTTGTAATGGCTGGTGGGTACACTGTTTGGGGATCGTATCATAGTGGATGGTAACAAGGTAACTGGTTGCTTGAGGAGGTTGTAGACAGTGTTTGATAATGCCCGTCTAAAGGAGAACACTCTGGATCAGTTTGGCACTCTTCTAGAACTACTGTTGGCAGCGTGCTGCTGGGCTGTGGCTAGAAGCATGGCATAATTTTGTGGCCGCTCTGACTCAATGTCAGGAGCGTGCTGGTCTGTGCCCGCCGCCTGGAGCCTGCTCTTGTTCTGTGGCTGCCACCAGGTGCGTGCCATCATTCTGCGCTTGACACTGGTAGTACACATGTGTTCTGTGGCTTCTGCCAGAAATGCGCTGTTCTGTGGCTAAGAGCATGCTATCATTCTGTGTCCATGGGCAGGAGCGTGAAGTTGTTCTTTGGGAGTGTGCCATCATTCTGTGTTAGAGGCTGGGAGTGGGTCATTGTTCTATGCCAGGTGAGCCATTCTGCGCCCATGGCCAGGAGCATGCTGTTTTTTTTGTAGCTTATTGTGCTGGCATACCTCTTCTGGGACCTCTTCTGTTGTCCAAACGAGGGCTCCCAGTAAAATGTACTAGTTAGGGATCCCCGTTTTCAGATTTGGGTGTATGCTTTGCAGTCACACAATGCTAGTCCCAAGAAGCATTCTCAAAGTGTGACAACAACATGAAGTAGAATGCAGTTTTGTATATGAAGAATGTTTGGTGCATTATACAATCCCAGCAGTCACCTGGTAGAACATTGAGCAGTAGGTATATTCCGTCCATCAAGGTCAGCCTGTGACCTATGTAACATAAAGGTTCAGGTTCTCTGAGACACTTACCTGAGGCAAGTGTATAGATCAGGAGTTGTGACATGACTAATCTGCATAGTTGTTCTGGGACACTGCCTTATAGTCTGAAAGGTTTTTGAGATCAGATTCAGCCAGGCATCTAGCGTTTTCATAAGGCGATTAGCAATAGCAACTTTAGTACTGCTTTCAGCTATGGATGCACCGATACCAAGTACTGTACTCGGTACAAGTACAGATAATTTTCCAGCTACTAGACTAGAGAAAAATTCCAAAGTTAGGAGGCCGCTGTCCTGTGTAAGGAGCACACGGAGCTCCTGGGATTTGTACATCTCTATTATAATGTATGATTTTGTTTTTATAAATATATATAAGGGATGCATCGATACAATTTTTGCAAGTACAAGTACTGATACCTGCCCAAGTACTTACAAGTACTGATACATTTTTTTTGGTGTCATGTGACAGTTTTTTTCTAAAACAATACAGACTAATGATTTCAGGACAGTGGTGGAGCGCCAGAGCCAGGTCCCAGCTGCAACCGCTGCAACCCTGGGAGTTCTCATGAAAATGCCAAGTATCGGCACTGGTATCCGAAAAGTATCGGTGCATGTTTTTGTTTTAAAATGACGCCTGTTGGCTTATTTCCCAATCGTTCTACTTGATCCCTTGTTTTATTATATAATTACAGCAGTCTGTCTCCAGAGCTGTCATTCCAACCTGTTGTGTGTTGCAGATGCCGCATGTGCTCAATCACCTTCTTTTCAAAGTCGGAGATGCAGATTCACTCAAAGTCGCACACAGAGGCCAAGCCTCACAAGTGCCCGCATTGCTCGAAAACCTTCGCCAACAGCTCCTACTTGGCCCAGCATGTTCGCATCCACTCGGGGGCCAAACCATACACCTGCAGCTATTGTCAGAAAGCCTTCCGCCAGCTCTCCCACCTCCAGCAGCACACACGGTAAGAGGGGCTGGGGTATAATGCAAGAACGGGTTTCTGACTAGCAGGAAATGTAGAAAGGGAGAGAACTAGTTGTATCCGTTTTTATTTTTCTGCCCATTTCAATTAAAAAGTAAAAAGTAAAGATGTATTTTTCCTGAAAATTGTTTTTGCATTATGATCCAATTTATTTATGTATGAGATTTACCAGATTGTTCAGTATTGTCACATGACACATACATGTTCACCATTTGCATTGTACCATATATGTTAGCTTTAGCTCATATTTACTCACTCACGCCAACACACATTAATGGGCAGTTCTTACACAGATAACCAAACAAGCGCAAGGTCAGGTAACCCACTGCCATTTAGCTTCTGAGGAACTACAGGATCCCAGTGCCGGCTAGCATATGTTAACTCTTTGCTGGCTCACGCAATTTATACTTTTATGCTTCTTTATTGAGTAGGGCATGTGCTAGGGTATGTTTGAGGATTAAGTGCCAATTCTCAAACATACCCTAGCATATTTCCTAGTGAATAAAGGAGCATAAAAAGGATAGTATCAAGCTGTGTAGCATCAAAGGATACTACAAGCTATGTCACACATTTCAGCCATCGCAGTGCGCTATGCCTGAAATGCGTCGCACAGCTTGTAGTTATTGTGAGATAGGCCATAGAACAGGGGTAGAAAAACTCCAGCCCTCCAGCTGTGGTGAAACTACAAATCCCATAATGCATCTCTCTCCGGGAGTCCTGTCTGGCTGTGAGAATCTTGCAATGCCTCATGGGATTCGTAGTTCCACCACAGCTGGAGGAGTTTGGCTACCCCTGCCCTAGAATACTGTTTTCCCCTAGGGCCCTTTCGCAAGTCTCCCTCTCATGTCCTTTCAACAGCCCTAGAGGATGCCTTTTCTGTGAAGCTTCGTGGATGTCAACTGTGACATTTTGCTAGGTCACAGTCAGTCGGCTTGTAATTGTTCTTCTGGAACCTTCCAAGAATACAGGAGTCCCTGCTAAAACCTGGTAGAAATAAAGGTGTAGCTGATAATCTGGGGACCTAAAATAGTAAAGCTCACCTAAAATGTTATTTATTTTATCTGTTGAGGGACATCTTTCACCTTTTTGGGTTATACTTCCACCTCCAATATTAAAAGAATGTAGACCAGCCGAGGATAACCCCTTCTACTACCAGTCTGGCCCATATTTTTGCTAGCGTTAGGAGGACCGACAGCTTTCTTCAGCTCTGCTGTGTAAAAGACTAAACATTTTTACTAGCACTATTTTTTCCTTTTTAAAAAAAACAAAAACATTTCTTCAGCCTACATTGCTGCTAGAGCTAGTCTTTTCGATTCCAGCCATCTGGCACGTTGCCCTCAGCCTGGCCTTTGCAGTACCTTGTTTGGATTCCACCAGAGTAGACATTGCAGGGATAGCTTGGAGGTGACCTTTGGGCGCTGGTTTCTGCATAGGGCACCTTCCAGACTCTATTCTCAAAGGCTCTCTCTGGCCTCAAAGTCTGCCAAATCCTCAGTCATGCTTTCTTTCACGTGAAGGTGCATCCCTACTTTCCAGAGTGAGGGGACATTTGTTAACCTTTTGCGGATGGTTGGACATCTTGCTCTTGGATGTTTGGGTGCAGGAGGTGAGACAAACAGATCTATGCTTGTATACAAAGGCTTAGACAAAGAAGAAAAAAACAGAGTCAGATAAGACGGAGCCCTTGGTCTTTTTCTGTAGTCACTATTTTATGATTTTATGTATCCCAGGGCTACAAACTGGAGTTTTGTTTCCTGCCCTCTCATTGGTTTCTCACCTCCATCCTTCCTGTGTCTTCACAAAGACTAGCAGTTCTCCATTAAGCCCTTTCAGGTCTTCTGGACCAAGGTGCCATTGCCCCAGGTTCTTTGGCAGAATGGTTACAAGGATTCTACTTCAGCCTCTTCACCACTCTCATACCCAAACAAGGCATCCAACCCATCTTAGATCTCAAAGCTCTAAATGTCTTCATTTGAGTTCAGAAATTCTACATGGTGTCCACTAGGTCTGTTGTTGCCTTCCTTTACCAGGGAGATTTTCTGGTTTCTGTGGACATCAAGGACACACACCTGCATGTCCGCATGCTTTTAGTGCATCTGCATTTCTACTTTTTGCTGTGGGTGCTATGTGCTACCAATTCGTAGCCCTACTCTTCAGCCTATCATCTGCACCTTGGGTGTTCACCACGATGCTGACCCCAGTACTGTCCCTGCTTCACTCTCATGGCATCTCCATTGGAACCGACTCAATGTTTGGAGTATCTGGATCTAGGCCTTGACGCAGCTCGTGCCAGAGTTTTTCTCCTATAGGGGAAGCTTTGGACTCTTCACTCTGAGATTAGAGCTCCTGGCCCAAGCTCTGAGATTGGAGCCTCCTCCACAGCTAGGGCTGCAACAACTAATCGATAAAATTGATGATAATGTCAATGATTCTCATTGGTGGATTGTGCGCCCGCTGGGCCTCCAATGTTCCAGGTTCCCCCCGCTGTGCCTCCGATGCTCCCTGTTCCCTCCGGCGCTCCCTGCGGCTGGGAACAACAGCCAGCCTGCTATTGGTTATTTTAAATTGCAATAGCAGGCTAGCTATTGCACATGCCCACTGACTGCTGTCAATCAGCAGAGGAGGACCTGAAGGAGAACTTTCTCCTACAGGTCCCTTTTCTGCTGATTGACAGCAGGCAATGGGCATGTGCAATAGCCAGCCTGCTATTGGCTACTGCATTTTAAAATAGCCAATAGCAGACTGGCTATTGCTCCCAGCCACTGCCTGCTGCGCTGACATTCAGCTCCCTCAGCAGGCAGCTGTCATTCCCCAGTGAAGTGTAAAAGGTGACACCAGGGGAGGCCGGGAAGCCTGCTCCTTGACAACGGAAGCACTGATGCTCAGTATCGACGAGTACAGAAAGCAAAATAACAGTACTTGTACTCGATACCCAAAAACCAGTATTGGTGCATCCCTAGTTTTGATTAAAACATTTTTTTTTTGTATTGGGACAAGTAGATTGTCATGAGGGACAAGTAGATTTGGCCCGCGCTTTAGCTCTTGGACAAGTAGGTTTTTTTAAAATTCACACACCCCCCTGCAGATCATCAGGATATTCTGTCTCAAGGACCCATGCACCCATTCTACAGGTTGTTGAAGCCCAAGTTTTGACAGACAGCAATATCTCTGAATCTGTGATTCCTTAGATGCTAAAACCTAGGACGGCTACGTCCTGCAAGGCCTGTCATTGGATAGATACATGTTTTTGTGATGGATCCCAAGTATGACCATTTTCCAAGAATCAAACTGTCAGCAGGCCATTGTTTTGGCCCTCCACTGAAAAGGACAACACAGGGGTGCCCTGCCTGATATTAGAGAAGCTGGTTTACTTAAAAAATCTGGAGACCCAGAAAATTAAATCTGAGATGACCTTTTGGCCTTCCGAACCACAGATAGCATACCCCTGCTTAGATAATAGGGTCACTGGCTATTAGAACACATTGGTGCTTTTAGTTCCTCAGTAGCATGAAGGGTGCAGGGTTCCTGGGTTTGTGTTTTAGTTAGCCACGCGCAATAAGATTTTGGATGATCAGTGCAATCAAGTTTCCCAGGCACTTTATAAAATGAGGTTTACAGGAGACTAGCTGCTGAAGCTAATGGTGACTACACATACCTGCAGCATCTTTTAGTGTATCCTATTTGCCCGAGTCCCAGGCTATTATGCCAAAGGATCAGCACTTGCTGATACTGTCAGAGTTTGTTTGCTCCCTCTAGTCCCTAGACATTCTTACTTTGCCATCATCATCATGATGAGCTGCCTCACTGATCAGTATGAACCTGTAGGGGGAGTGGACAAGCTTCTGCATGTACCAAAGCCTCGCCTATCAGAACCGCCTGGCATTTGGACAAATCGGGGGCAATAAAAGGTGCCACAGGTATTGTACAGACAATATTGAAATGACAGACGTATTGACCAGTGTTACATTTTGCTGATTTGGCTGTAACAGAATCTTCTTGTACGTGGCTATCTTTAGGCGTCAGAAGATAAGTGATATGATTGTGATGTTCTATAGGTTTGCAGAATCTGCCTTTGTTACACAGAGAGCGTTTCCATTCAGACATTGTGTCAAGTGTTTTCCTAACCTTTCCATGTACACAACACCTTTTTATATATTGTCGTGTCACTTTTACTGAATGCGCTTGCATTGTTCTTTGTAATTCTGTTTATCATGTGTGTTGTCTATTGTCACATGAACCTAGCTGCTCTTCATTTACTTTAATATAGATATGGTCTTCCTTGCCTTCCATGCTGCTACTCCATAGCTTCTCCCTGCTGTCCTCCTTTTATCTACTTTTTATCACCCGGGCTTGCCTTTCTTCTCTGTATTGGGAGCTTCCTTCATAGAAGAAGAATATACAGTATATTGTACGCAGATCAGTGACTGTCCAAGCAACAGAACCATAACTTTACCAGAGATCTGCCTTGGACGTTGTCCAGCAGTGCCATAGTCATTACACAAAAAGGAACAGATAAACACAGAATACTAAAAATCAGTGTTCTTGTCTACAAATGCTCATCATATGGCCGGGCATTGCTGTTTACAGCCGTATCCTACCAGGTTCAAGTTTGCTTAGCTTCTGCATTTGTATTTCTGCGGATTTGCCATTTAAATAAAGATATGAAGACAATCTTAAGATGCAACTATAGTCGCACATGTATGTTACCTTAACAATCTATTTTAATACTAAAACTCAATGTTCTAGTCTTTAAATTGGGTTCTCAAAAGTCCAGATGGTTGTTCACATTGACAGAACTCTCGGGATTGTTAACATACCGGGACTAGTAGTTTTATATTCCAAGGTGGGGAATAGTGTGAATGCTGGAAAAATGACAAGTCTGGCTTCCTGGTTAGTTTATGGGTTGCCATGATTGCACAGCAGCCACCAATACTCAGCACTAATGTTCCATGCAACCCGTTCCCATGCATGTAAATATAATGCAAGTTACAGGACCAAAGATCAGTGACGTGCTTTCTGAAACATGTGACGTCGACATAATTGCTAATCGGGAGCATCTGAATCCGGAAAAACAGAGCTTAGTGCAGGTTAGTTTGTAGTGAGCTTGTCACAGGCTTGACGTTGATAATCCTGGCCTAGTTTTCTAAAATGTAAAAATGAACTACAGTACAGTAGTCTCTCTCAAGGTACCTAGAGGTGCATCCTTTTAGATCTTCCTGTCACAGCCAAATGCTGGGTCACTCTTAACAGACAAAGCATGGACTTTCTCGGGTGTCAAAGCTTGCTGCTTAACCCTCCCAATACATTCCTATTGCTATGATAGGCAGCCTGACTGGCAGAAGGCATGGGAGCGAAGGCTTTAACTCATCAGGATTGTCAAACCTTTGCCAATCAGAGCGGCCTGAGATTCAGCTTTGACAGAAGACTTAGACTGGGTTCACACCTAGCCGTATCGAATATGTGCGTTTCGTGCCGCGCGTTTTTACCGCGATTCGCGGATTAAAAAACCGAGTGACATACGCGCGTTTCCGAGGGCTACCTGGCTGTATCCCAATGGATACGCGCTGCAAATACGCCCCAAAGAAGCTGCTGTACTTATTTGGGCGTAGGGCATTTTGTAGCGTTCATACGGCCTGTAATACGCCCAGGTGTGAACCATACCCATAGGAAATAATGGGATTTCGGTGTTTGAGCGTTTTGCAGAGCATAGGAAACGCCCAGGTGTGAACCGGGCCTAAAGAGGCTGCTAAACCCTAGGGCAACCCTAGGCATCAGCACTTCATACCTACAGCAGTCTGGCTTTTCAATGCCCTGAACACGAACACTGGGTACTCCAGTATGCAAATTTCATCCAGCTGCCACAGTCATGAGCTGGACTACAATTATACGTAGGTGGGCATTTCATAAGTGGAAAAACTGATAAAAACTTTAGTTATTCTTTGTTTATGTGTGATTTAGTATTTGCAACTCCCTTTTCGCCACTTCGTTTCTGATCTGTCTTTCTGCCTCTGTTATCCCCTGGCTGGCTTTAATTTAGCTGATGTTACCCACTAGCCCACGTGGCTTGGCTTCTCTACCTCTGCTTCCCCTAGCCTCCTATGGCCATTGTCTTACTGCTTTGTGTCTGCCGTGCTTCTCTTTAGCGCATTACTCATCCTTGGCTTATTGTAAATACCATAGATGTAGTGAGATCTCATCATCTAACCAAACTGAGCCATCTGTTCCATAGTGTTTTGAGTGTTGTGTTCTCCCAGCATTCCTGAAACCCCTTTTCATCCACCCATACCCATATCCCTCCCATAGACGCAACGTAAATGTCTTCTCTTTTGATTCTTCTAACAGCTGCTTATCCTTTTACCAACACCTTTCTTCCCCTAACTTTAAAGGTGCAACACTCACAATGCACACACTTCTTCTTTTTTTTTTTTTTTATCCCCTCACTTTACACTATAAACACTTACCTTACACAAAAATAGACTACACACCAGTTCAAAAACACTGCCTCCACTGCTGCCAAATAGACGGTACATTTACATGGACCCTGAGACACCGCAGGACTAGTACAGTCCTTATAAATGTAAAGAGACTGGGTACAGCTGTATGAATATAAGTCTGTCCTTCAAGTCAGAACCCATTACTTGGTAGTGGCAGGGACTGCATGTCTGCCTCTGTGAACAACCTGCTCACAACGTTGTGGCTGTCTGACCACGAACACCCCCCTTTAGTGTCCATCAACCCCATATTCTTGATGACTTCACAGGCTTTTGACTAGGGGCCTGCTGTACAGTCTGATTGGTTGAAATCTGACATGTCTTGACCAACAGTAGGACACATGCTGGAAGAGATTATATTGATAATCAACCAGTCAAGCTGCACCTCATGCAGAGTTTTATCAACCAGGTAGGCTTCCTCAGGGCTGGGGGGTGAAGGAAAGGCTTATTGAAGACCAGCCAAAGTCTAAAGCTGGCCATACACCTATAGATTTTCTATGGCCAGATGGAAAAAGTGCAACAGATTCCTCCATCTAGGCTAAACTGTGGATGGAGGAATCTCCCACTGGGCCAAGCTTCAGTGTCTTGCTAGTCGGCCTCGCTGGCTCTCAAAATACCTGAACAATGCCTGAATCCAATCAGATAGTTCTGGTATTTTGACAGCCAACTGGGCTGACTAGCAAGATGCTGAATCTTGGCCCAGCGGGAGATTCCTCCATCCACACAGGTTAGCGTAGATGGAGGAATCTGTTGCACTTTTTCCATCTGACCATAGAAAATCTGCAGATGATCTATAGGTCTATGGCCAGCTTTAGCCGCATCATTCAAAGAAATGGGCAGAGCTTCTCTATCACTAAACAAAAGGGTGCTCTCTTGAAGGTCAGAGCTTCTATTTATTTTTAGGTACCTATGCCTTACACTTCTGAAGTTGAATATAAAACATGTTCAGACAAGAGCAAGCCATTCCAAGTCCCTTTTAAATATTAGAAACCCCTTTAGGTTGTAGATTAGTGAGGACCTGGAGTACTTTTTAGATCCTCTTGGCGGTCTGTCCAGTCCCTGTACAAACTATCACTGCTTTATAGTTTGCATGAATAGACAGTGCCATGGGCTTTCTAAGTTGGCTAGCACTAGAAGAGGGTTTAATGGTTTCGGCAAAAGACTAACCCTGAGGCAGAGCCAGCCAATCGGTGATACTGCCTGAATGCAGATCCTTTCCTTTGGTGGAACATATGTTCTCAGCCAATGTTGCAGCAGTCAGCTATCAACTGTCTGAGGCTGAACTGACGTAGGTGATTCTGCTGCTGGCCACACACCAGGAGAGGCTTCCACCTTCTATGGAATCACTCCTCCACTGGCCTGGGATGTTCTTGTGGATGGCCCTAAGGGAGCCCAGAGGAGAAGACTTGTGTTAAACAGCTTTGGCTTATAGTTTAGAGCATAGGGCAGTGGAGGGTGTTAAATAGTCTAGGGCTAGTTTTGCATACGTCTACTTTCATTAAAGGTTTGTAAATAAAGGCAATGTGCCATGGGATAGCTAACATAGAGTTATCATCTGTATGGGGACCTGCGCCTTGTTCGTTCTTTTACATAGCAGCACCAATCTTGACTGCCTTTTACAACCTTAGAAAATCCCCAAATAAACATGCAAGGCTTAACATAGTGTAACACAGAAGAGGGGATGGCCCTGCCACAATATCTGCATAGATATATATCACATGATCAGATATTTATCACATGATCAGATTACAGTGTTTTTGTATCTGTTCAAAAATGAGCAGACATCACCAGCTGATCGATCTGTGGGGTGAAGAGTCAAATGATGATGCTCCCTTGATGCTAGGCTAGTGTTGGGCACAGTGCAGAAACATGCATGCATATGTGTTGTGACCGCCATCTAATATCATTGACCAGCTTAAACTGAATTTTGTTTCTTAACATATCCATGCAAAAAAGAATATCTTACAGTTAACCTCTGTGTTGCCCATGCAGCAAGGAAGGGAATCCCTGTGTAAGCTCCAAGAGGTGTCATGGATTCCCAGTAGACTGATTGGATGTCTCAGTGAATGTCAGGGGTCTAGGGAGGCAGTGTTTTGGCTTACATACACCATCAGAAAAGTCACACTAGGATGCACATTCATATCATCATGCAACACATGCAACACGTCCCTTTACAAATACTTACATAGCCAGTTATACAACATTCATTGTAAGATTGCTTCCACACCCAACCCTTGTGTTGTCCTGGCAGGATCCATACGAAGGTCCATAGTGTGGTGTCCAAGCCTCACAAGTGCCCGTACTGCTCCAAATCCTTCGCCAACCGTTCCTACCTGACTCAGCACGTGCGCATCCACTCAGGTGTCAAGCCGTACAACTGCCGCTTCTGTCTGAAGGCCTTCCGCCAGCTCTCTCACCTCCAGCAGCACACACGGTAAGGGGGCCGGAGGAGAGAGCTGGGGGAGCCCCGACACCAGCATGTGCCCTTTCCCCTCCCCACCCACCTAACAAAGTACCCAGTCGCAGCCCACATCTTTACATGTTCATCCTCTGTAGACTTGGGTGACTTGTCCAGGGCTGGATCAATCCCAGATGCCAGGGAGCTAACATGCCCCCCACCCCAGAAAAAAAGTCATATCCCCTTCCCAACTCCCTGCCTACATGCTGCTTTTGCTACCATATAGTACACCTGTCATGAGAGAAACGTGAAGGCTGCCATTGTTGACCACCTGAAATGCTTAATGCTCAGCTGTCAAGCTGACCCTCCTTCAGTGCATCCCAAACAAATCTGCAGATAACTGACTTTTTTGATCTCACTATTTGTCCTGGGTCAGTGACTAAGATAGTTGAGTCCCCGTATTTCTTTCATGGCAGGTGTACTTTAAAGAGGCCCTGTCTGTTCTCCAAACGAATAGAAACGCTCGATCCCTGCATGGGAAGGGAAGGTGCTCTTGCCTTTCTTGTGGCCTATAGCTCCTCCATTTCCCCCATTTCAGCACATCAGTCTCTTCAATATTCACCACTTCTGTGTGTGTCGTGTGCCTGTGTACCCTGCCATGCACCATGGTTCCATCCTCTGACCCTGCCTCAGTATGGGACACAGCCGTGGCATAAAGGTCAGAGGATTGAACCACAGTGCTATGGAGAGGGGGGTGACAGGCACCTGACGTGTCAGATATCAGAGTTCAGCTGAGGCTGCAGTGCTAGAACATAGGGGAGGTAAGAGACACGGGATGCTGGAGTCTAATCCCTCTTCTATTGCAGGGACCGAACATCTTGATTTCTTTAGAGATGTGGCGAGGTCTAAAATGATATCCGGTTCCTTAATTTTAGTAAATTTGTCCAACCCTGGACTAATCTAATTCTCAGAACTCTTAGTCCTGCTCTATCTGTGCATACATACAGGGTTCAGATCTCTATTGTAAAACAATTGTGTCAATTTAATAATATAGTCAGGAGTTTTCAGTATCTTTTTAAAAGAATTTGTCTGTATCGGTACATTGGGGATACAGAAAATGTAATGGGCTTCACCCCTTTGGCGGCACGTCACTAGGTACACAGAAAACCGTCTCCCCCTTATAGCTTGCTTCCGCTCCTGCTGACCCGTGGTTATTTTTTCGTGTCCTCAATGGGGGTTTCCTTCCTACTTAGTGTTAATGCTAGAGAAGACACAACTTGTAGAATTGTGTACTTTAATTTTTACTCCTGTTTTTATAAATCAGTGTTTTGGGGCTCATACCCAACACACTATGACCCACGAAAATGGCAATTTGTCTTATGTCCTAGGGATTTAGTTTACTCTCATGCATTGAAAAAAATAGGATGCGTTGCATTTTTTTCAGCAGCAAGTGTTGACACGCTGTATTGCATTGCACCATGCTGCAGTGCGTGGGAGTACATCAAAGTAAAAAAATAAAAAGGGGAAGCAAGCACAGAAATGTGTTCCAACAATGCATTGCAGTTTGCGTTCACAGAGCACATGCGTTATGCCCACAGTAATGCACACTGTGTGGTGTGAACAAGCGCTTAGTCTTCATACTGTTGCACATACTGCTTAGGTCTTCTGCAGGTGTAGGTTAGGCCAGGGCTGGACAAAATCCCAAAAGCCAGGATTCAAATGAAATGAATCCATAGCGGCCAGCCACTACTAACATTGTGTGTTGTCTTTCTTTTGATGTTATTGGAGACGCTTGGTCTTTTGGCTGCTTTAAAAGGACCTGTCACTTCTGAACTCCAGTATGTACTAAGAAAATTATTTTTCAGAGCTATTCTTTCATAAAAACAGTTGGCCTGACTGTGGGGGGAAAACGGGGTCTATAGTGTCAGCTTTAGGGTATAACTCCTTTATATATTCGTTCTACATTGGTCTTCTTTCTAATTCCTTCTTCCCTATGAGACACTTTATCCTCGCCACTGAACTCCAGGCACAAACCTTTGTTCAAAATATAGTTCTCAATAGCCACAAAGGATGTAAATTCACTTTGGGCGCACCTTTTGACTTTGCAAATCCAATTATTACCATATTAAAGTAGCAGTGACATCATCACTGTGTTGTACATAGCCTGTGCTGGCTGTAGAAAACTCCAGGAGGGGGTGGATACCAGACTTGTCACCCTGCAAAAGGAGAGAGAGAGAAGCAGTGACCGGCCTTTATTACGGGAGGGGGCGGAGACAAGACCAGTCACCCTGCACAAGGAGAGAGAACAGCAGTGACCGCCCTTTATTACAGGAGGGGCAGAGACAAGACCAGTCCCCCTGCACAAGGAGAGAGAACAGCAGTGACCGCCCTTTATTACAGGAGGGGCAGAGACAAGACCAGTCCCCCTGCACAAGGAGAGAGAACAGCAGTGACCGCCCTTTATTACAGGAGGGGCAGAGACAAGACCAGTCCCCCTGCACAAGGAGAGAGAACAGCAGTGACCGCCCTTTATTACAGGAGGGGGCGGAGACAAGACCAGTCACCCTGCACAAGGAGATAGAACAGCAGTGACCGCCCTTTATTACAGGAGGGGGTGGAGACAAGACCAGTCACCCTCCACAAGGAGAGAGAGAAGCAGTGACCGGCCTTTATTACAGGAGGGGGCAGAGACAAGACCAGTCACCCTGCACAAGGAGAGAGAGCAGCAGTGACCGGTCTTTATTACAGGAGGGGGTGGAGACCAGACCAGTCACACTGCACAAGGTGAGAGAGAAGCAGTGACCGGCCTTTATTACAGGAGGGGGCGGAGACAAGACCAGTCACCCTGCACAAGGGGAGAGAAGCAGTGAGTGGTCTTCATTACAGGAGGGGAGGGAGACAGGACCAGTCACCCTGCACAAGGGGAGAGAAGCAGTGAGTGGTCTTCATTACAGGAGGGGACGGAGACCAAATCAGTCACTCTGCACAAGGAAAGAGAGCAGCAGTGAGCTGTCTTTAATGCAAGAAGCTGGAAGCACCAAGTCTCACACTGGATTACTGCACAAAGCTCACCAAGATCAAAGAACTCCGGGCATATGAAATCTTAACCATTGCCATAGTGCTGCCCCCGTCCTGCAAGGGTTAAGTGCTTCCTTTGTCAAAGGAAATAAAATAACAAAGATGAACTCGCCCAAATCTCTGTCCCGGCTGGCATGCACAGTGCAAGGGTTAAGATTGGCACGGAGTTCTTCTTTAAGAATACACCTGACTCTTGTATTCAGACATTATTTCCATATCCTGGAGGTTACAAAGAAAGGAAGGAGAGTGTCCAGCCCTGCCTATGACTATACTTTGTGGCAGAACTGTGTAAATTCCAGGAATGGTTGCACAGAAATGCAAAATTCTTTTGGCATAAAAGTTGAACTTTAAGGTAACGAGCAAGATCTCGCAAGTCAAGAGCCAAGCTGTTTTCATGCAAAGAGGGTAACCTGGCAAAATTAAGTAAAATAGAACGTTTCAAAACCCTAATCAGGCTGATTGGACCATTTCAGAAGTGACAAGTTGCCTTTGGAGAACCTTCTAGCTCCTAGACTGGACTGACTTGGTCCTGAATTCCACAGTCATTTTGTCCACCTTTCGGTTATGCCAATACCGTCCCAATACTAGATTGTTCTTGTGGCCCATGTCCTGTTGAGTAAATGGCCCAGTACACAAGTGCAGTATCTTGTCTTGTTTAGTCTTATACACTGTCCTAGCTCCCATCTATCTGCTTTGAATGGCCCAGACCCAACCCTTGTGTTGTTCTGGCAGGATCCACATGAAGGTGCATAGTGTGGTGTCCAAGCCTCACAAGTGCCCGCACTGCTCCAAAACCTTCGCCAACAGCTCCTACCTGGCCCAGCACTTGCGCATCCACTCGGGGGCCAAGCCGTACAACTGCCGCTACTGTCAGAAGGCCTTCCGCCAGCTCTCTCACCTCCAGCAGCACACACGGTAAGGGGGCCGGAGGAGAGATTATGATTACGTGTCTATAATTAAAGTATTGTTTTCTGTTTCTTGCACACAGGATTCATACTGGGGACAGACCTTACAAATGTGTCCACCCTGGATGTGAGAAGGCATTCACCCAGCTGTCCAATCTGCAGGTACTGACAACACTTCCTGTCCTTTCGTTATGTTCTTGCAAAGGTTGTCTTGCTTCGTCAGTGTTCCCTACATTTTCCGCAGTTGCGTAGCACCATCAGGCTAGGTTCAGACCTGCGCGACACATGTCCCCGGACCGCGCAATCGCATGCTAGTGCACACAGCAGTTGCCGCGCGTCCACATTGATTTCAATAGGGCTCCAGCCTGTCTTTAAAGTGTATGTGAACGCTAACAATAAACTTCTCTTATTTGCTCCCTTTAGGTTTGTTAAATATTTGATAAGTGCAAAAAAAGAAAAAAAAATAGTTACCCTCGGGTTAAATTCAGAACTGTCCGCAGTTGTCTGCAGACACCGCAAAATCTGTCATGACATATACGCTTTAAAATAAATCCATTAGCTCTGGCTGAAATACTTGCCTCCTCTCCAACACTGTCCCCCACCGTAATCTCATTCCACCACAAGATCTCCCCAGTCTTTCATGTTCATCATTTAACCCAGAAGTCTGAAGGCCGGTTCACACTACAAAGGCTGCGTTCCAGAGCGTTCGGCCTCTGGAACTGGAACGCACCCCTGCTGGCTCCCTGCGGGAGGGGGTGTGGCGGTGTAATAGTGCTTGCAGCACTTTTGCAGATCGCACTGGACCGGAACGCAGGCACTAATGTGCCTGGGTTCCAGGTGCGGGCGATCGCACTGCGGGGGGTGGGGGGGGGATGGAGTGGCTGTGGTGCCATTGACTTCAATGCATCGTCACGCCCCTGAACGAAGGGAGCTGGCCGGCATGCGTTCCAGAGGTCGAACGCAGCCTTTGTGGTGTGACCCAGCCCTGAAGGCATACTGGGAATGCAGGGCCTCATGGACCTGCTCTCCGGATGGGGGTGTCACCACGGTGCCTTGCATTCAGTGTAATGATACAGTGTGATGTAATGAGAGTGTTGGTGTTCAGCACCACTCCTTGCATCATTGAGGACCGCCAACAATTGGGCGAAGATCCAAGGAAGAGCCCACCTGTCATGTGACTAGCTTGAAGACTTTGGAAGGAGGTAGGTATGAAGAAAAAAAAGCCGAAGGAGTCGGAACATTGTTTTCAGAAATAAACACTGAAGTTTGGAACACTGACGGTTGGGAACTGAGCATGGAGGAAATAGTGAAATAGTTGCTGTGGGTTTCAGTGCTTTGCACAGTGCATTTGCTTTGCACTCCTTTCCTGAAAAGGGTTGAAAGTGTCTAAAAATAGCCTTCGAGCTGTTTTGGGAATTGTTTTGAACCCAAACGCAAACCCATGCTGCTTGCTGATAGTATGCATTAACATTACGCGGAGAGGCTGCAGTGCACAAAGCAGTGTTACAACCCACGCACTGCACTCACTGTATAACGTCATGCGTAGAGCCTGCAGTGCCAACACTGTCACCAAACGGGACAATGCATTGCCAGTGTTAACCTCTTGCCGTCCGCCCGTAGTAAAAAAACGGACGGACGGCATTTATCCTTATCTGATTCCTGCTAAATTCTCCAAAATTCCATTGAGGCGGGCACATTCAGACTGCTGGTTAAGTCCCCTCATTCCCTTCAGTGCTAACATACTGAAGTGAGCATATTGACCCAAATCTGGCCTGTAGAGGTGTGAAAGTCTGTAGACGTTGTGTCACTTGCCCGCCCTTTCCTCCTCTCACCTCCATTCATAAAAGTTGTACTGTTCCTAGAATGCAAAACAACCTGTGATTGGAGGAGGTGGTTCCTGTCAATGGGTTCCATTTAGAACAGTAAATGGTGGGGAAACCAGGTCGAGGGGAGCCCAGTCACATGACCTTACACATTTTGTGGCTAACCTTTTCTCTAATCTAGGAGTTCTCTCTGCAGTGCTAAACAGAGAAACCTTAATGAGACACGGCAGGCTGCACACTATGGTCTGTATTTTATTCATGACTCACAAGTGCATGCCGCAGCGTGGAGCAAACACTGTGGCGTTCCACTGTCTGCTATAAGAGGCAGGCTGGGACTCACTGAAGGATGAGGATTAGTGGTCATACTTTTCATTTTCTAAAGTCTGCAGTGGGCTTGTTGTATGAAAGCACCTGGGGCAAAATTTACTCAAGACTGCCTGCATTGCCCTAAAGCAGCCAATCGTATTCTCCTTTTTTGTTCTTCTACGACAAATGGAGCTTTAGCCCTGGTTACTGTTGAGCAACGCAGACTGTTCACAGACCATTCTTCCCTCAGACACTTTTAACAATTAAGTGAATTCAATGTTATAACTGTACCTTGTGTTTTTGTTCTTCAGTCTCACAGAAGGCAGCACAACAAAGATAAACCTTTCAAGTGCCACAACTGTCACCGGGCGTATACCGACGCTTCTGCGCTGGAGGTTCACCTGTCAACGCACACGGTCAAACATGCGAAAGTGTATACCTGTTCCATCTGCAGCCGAGCGTACACTTCGGTAGGTGTCTGTGGGGATTAGTGTGGTTTTGCTTTTCTCAAGTAACCCCCTTGGTAAGCTAGATTGCACTGCCGCTGTGCTTTTCCATTGCACTATACTACTCTGATTCCCTGCTTTGCTACGTCATGCAGTCCTTTGGGTGCCTGTAGGTGCTTTTTGCGGTTTGTTTTTTTTTCTTTTTCTGACCCATACCAGTTGAAAAAAAAAACAACTGCAGTCTTATGAAGTTCTTTAAAAGTCATTAATTTGTCACTCAATTCAAAAAGTAAAAGTACGTGAAATCAGGTTATGTTGAGCCATCACACACCAGCAGAGTGTTGAAACAGTTTTTGTTGGGAGTGTAGAACAGGCACTTCAATAATACTGATGTGCTTATGAGTAGGGATGCACTGATACCGGTATCGAGTACTGATATATTTTTTTCGGTACTAGGTGACTAGTCACTAGGTGACGAGAAAGCATGGAGACGGCTTTTTGGCCAATCAGGAAGCCGGGCTCTGTGTAATGACACGGCGCCCGGCTTCCTGGTTGGCCGGGAAGCCGGCTCCATTCTCCCTTGTCAGGAGGTGACGTCATTACACGGCGCCTGGCTTCCTGATTGTCCGCTTCCGACCAATCGGGAAGCCGGGCAGTGACACGCTGCCTGGCTTCCTGATACCGGAAGTATTGGGTTAGGCATTTGGGCGAGTACGAGTACTCACTGAAATGCTCAGCGTTGTCACTGATACTAGTATCGGTGTATCCCTACTTATGGGTGTTCTCATTTTGGAGATGGCCACTGCGGGTGATTTTTAATGCATGTCTACAGAGCAAACTGGAGGTGGGGTTGTTGTATGAAATATCCAGTCACTGTCTTTTATTCTCACCTTGTGTGTGGGTACTTTATTGGAAGAGGACAGACAGGCTGGCATGTCAATGTCCATATATCTTGCTGCACTCCTTACCGGATATCCCTAAAAGGTAACGGTTGCTCGTAATGACTGCGGATGGCACCGCTCACAGTAAACCTTAAATACAGATGTCACTAGCATGAAAATTCCATATAAGTGCAATTCCATTTTATTGATGAGGGGCCCTGTTCAGTGTAAGCAGGCATCATAAAACTGCACTTTCAGGATCATAAAACGCACTTCCATCAGGAGTGCGTTCAGCCTCTGGAACGCATTGGAATGCAACCCAGCCGGCTCAGTTTTATGGGGAAAATCGTACCGCGTTACGATCTCCGGCACCCGAATGCGTGGCACATTAGTGCCTGCGTTCCTGTCCAGAGCGATCTGCAAAAAATGCTGCAAGCGCTATTTTTTGCAGATCGCATTGGACCAGAACGCAGGCACTAATGTGCCAAATGTTCGTCTGGCCGGGTTTCTTTCCAGTGCATTCCTGAGGCCGAATGCACTGGAACTCACTCTTGATGGTGTGACTGGGCCCTCGTGTGTTCTTGCAGACGTCTGTGCTTTCTACTGCATGTAGAAAACATATGTTCTTCTTATATAGCCTCTTTGTGTATTGCCTGACGTGCCTTTCCTTTCCTGCCGGTAAACTTGTTTCTTTCCCCCATTCTCCCCGCAGGAGACCTATCTGATGAAACACATGAGGAAACACAATGCCCCAGAATCCCAGCAGCCAACACAGGTTATGACCTCACAATCTCATTTCACCCCTGTGTCCCAGGCCCCTACATCTGAAGGACCCCAATGCTCCTTCGACATGAACCCCTTCAAGAATGACCACCACAAAGACTTGTGTCTGACTGTTTCCACCAGTGCCATCCAAGTGGAACATCTCTCCAGCTCCTAGTTACGCACAAGGTGGGACCGAACATCAGGGCAAGATGGGAGAGAGGTCCAAGACGTGACAACATGGGAAGTATCAACAGGTCTGGGCCACGCCTCTCCCGGAGGGTTGGGGGAAATAGAGAGACTAAAGTCCCATTTTGGGCAGGAACTTTGGCCTTGCCATAACACAGACGGCAGAGAAAACACACTCTAGTGCAGCCTCGGTATAATGGAGGCCTTCGAGCTGTTTTGGGGATTGTTTTGAACCCAAACGCAAACCCATGCTGCTTGCTGATAGTATGCATTAACATTACGCGGAGAGGCTGCAGTGCACAAAGCAGTGTTACAACCCACGCACTGCACTCACTGTATAACGTCATGCGTAGAGCCTGCAGTGCCAACACTGTCACCAAACGGGACGATGCATTGCCAGTGTTAAAGAACGACTGCAGTTTGTACCCAGCGCACAGCCAGGAGAATCTGCCCGTGTGAGACAGACTAGTGGGGGGGGGAAAAATGATTTAAGATTTTTGGACTTATTATTTTATACCCTTATACGTAAGCGGGGAGGGGTGGGTGGGATGGAGTTCTGTATTATATATTATTTTATCCTTATCTGATTCCTGCTCTTCCTCACCTGACATCTTCCCTGGAACCACACCGCATAGGAATAACGAGGAGAGACGAAGACTGACAATGGGCGTTCTGGGGAGCGAGGAGGGGGCCCGATGAATTGTTGCTCTACATAAAAGGTTATACGTATTAGCTAGTTTTGCTAATCTGCCAGGGGATGTTTAAGCCTGTGTCCTGGATATAATATGTATAAATATATACAGAACAAAGTGTGTATATCTATCCACTGTAGCTTATTTTCCGCTCTCAGTTATTCCTTTTGTTCTTTTACACGGTCTTGTACATCATACTGCAAAGGGGCAAGTCCAGCACATTCTGCCACAAAACCAGTCACCCCCTTTCCAAGTCTTAAAACTAAACTCCAGGCAGATGTGATAAAACATAAACTAATACAACTATGTATGCTTTAAAGAAATGTTCAATGTATTTTTTAACTGCTGCTAGTGTAAGTACCTGAGTTTGACGTCCTATCCGCCTCCTGTATAACAGCACAGAGACAAAGAGGGATGGCTACCACTAGGAGCCATTTAGCCTCTGCCGCATGCACAGTACGAGAGAGCAGAGGGCTGACCTCATCAGTGTGCTGCTTCTCTGCGCGTGAAGTTGCAGACCCGACTATGCTATCTAGCAGAAGGTGGCTAGATGACAGGATTGTAAACCATTTGGAAGTTAAAACTACTATGTATTTGACTGTTTGCTTGGAGTTCAGTTTTAACCATCATTTTTTCTGTTTTCCCTCTTGCCTGATTCCTTAAATATTTGCTAACCTACTGCCTTCTGTTCTGTGCAGACTTAGTCTGCCTTCCTGTCCTTTGTAACCCTTAGTCAGTTTCTGTTCCCTTCTGCCTCATTGCAGAAACAACGGCTTTATTCCCCCGACTAGCCTGCCTGCTATCATGTCCGACTCAAAATTACCTCATCTGGTGTCCAGACCATTTTATTTTCTCTTCTATGCTAACCCCGCCCCCCCCCTGTAACCTGGATTCCCCGCTCTCACCTGGCTCCACCCCCCTCCCCGGTTTCCTTTTCCCCATTACAACATGGTTTCTCACATTCCTTTCTAATCTAACCTGGCTCCTTCCTTCCCCCTACCCTTTTAACCTAGCTCCTTCTTTCTAACCTGGCTCCTCCCCATACAACCTGCCTTCTCCTTTCCTTTTCCTCTGCCCATTTTAGCCTGGCTTCTCCCCTCCTTTTCTTCTAACTTGGCTGCTTCCCTCCTCTTTCTCTCCCATCTAACCTGGCTCCTCCCCTTTCTCTCCCATCTAACCTGGCTCCTCCCCTTCCTCTCCCATCTAACCTGGCTCCTTCCTTTCCTCTCCCATCTAAACTGGCTCCTCTCCCACCTAACCCGGCTCCTTCCCTTCCTCTCCCATCTAACCTGGCTTCTCTGTTCTTCTTCTTCCCCCCTAGCCTGGCTTCTCCCCTTTTCTTCCCCTGTCCTTAACCAGGCTTCCCCACTCCTTCTCTTCTCCGGTATAACCTGTCTGCCTCCCCTCCTTTCTTTCTCCAATTTGACCTGGCTCCTCCCTTCTAAACTGGCTGTTCCCCTGTCTAACTTATTCTTTTCCTCTTCCCTCTAACAAGACTTCTCTACTCTAACCAGGTTCCTCCCCTCCTTCCTGTCTACTCTGACCTGGCTTTTACCTTCCTCCTTTTTCTAACCTGTCTCCTCCCCTCTCCTTTTTTTTTTTTCTTTTTCTCCATTTTTACCTGGCTGTTCCCCTTCTCTTCCCTTTTACCTGGCTTCTCTCCCCTCTAACTTGGCTCCTCTTCTTCCTTTCCTCTCTCCTTTTTAGAGGTTTTTTTTTTTTTATGCTTCTTTAATTTTTGTATTTATTTTTTTACACTTCACTTTATTGCTATCACATAGGAGGCTAAGAAGCTCCCTATGTGATAGCCAATTTACATGACAGGTCCTCTTTATGGAGACATCAGGGGTCTCCCAAGACCCCTAATGTCCCCTAGGGAGCACCAGAGAAGCTGATGAAGCAGAGATCTGCTTCACCAGCTTCTGAAGCTGGAGAGTGACAGCAGAATGCGGAAGTGATGTAATATACAACACTTCCTGCATTTGGGGACCGGAGAGGAGTTCAGAGGGAGATTTTGTACTGATCTCCCTTTGATCTCCGGTCACAGAGCAGCCTCGCCGGTCCCGGCCACACCGAGCACAGCGGATTTCGGGACCGGCAACGGCAGTGACAACTGCTAATACAAGCGATCTGACGTCTCTAGAGACGCCCGATCGCTTGAATGTAAAGCCCGCGTCCGGCCATTTGATTACAACGGCGGGACGTGAAGCTACTCGTCGGGCTATGCCGTCCTCTCGTCACGGACAAGAGGGCGAGCGGATTTTTTCAAGCCCTGGTCAGGTTATACTGCTTCCTACAGGAGGATCTAGACAGCAAAAAACAAATCCTGGCCATCCCAAGATAACCCTTCCTACTCCCAGCATGCCTCGTTTTTTTGCAAGTGTCCTAGAAGGAAGGACGCCTTATCCCCAACTCTGCAGAGAAAGGTCTAACTTTTTTTAAAGCTTTTTTTTTTTTTTTCCCCTCTTCAATAATGGTAATAACTGCTAGAGCTGGTCTCTATCTGCAGCTATCCAGATTGGCCTTTTCTCATTACTAGCTTTGGAGGCTGTACTTGGACCCCGCTGGACTGCAGTAAGCTTCTTCAGGTGGCTTTTTGAGCTGTTGGATGTCCTGACAGTCTCTGAATTCCTGAGTCTCTGAATGGAAGAAAAAAAAATAGGATTTTTGTAGTTGCCATAAAATCCATTGTTTGGATTTCATTATATAACACAGGTCCTACGCCAACCCTCTGTGTTTATGATCAGGCTCTTGGTACTGCTTTTCCACAAAACTGAGGTATGCTGGGACTGCAGGGGTTATACCAGAATGGCCACAATTTGTTTTTTTAGTTTGCCATAGTCCAAATCCTCCAGTAGACGGCAGTATAACCCAACAGTCTCTGAATTCCTGTGTCCCTCAATGTACTCCATGAAATGGATTTTTACCCTTCTCTTCCTTTTTACCCTAACCTAACTTGTAGACTGTTAAATTCTTTGCTGTCAGCTTCTGTCTTACTCCATTTTCACGTTTCCTTTTCGTCCTTCACCTCGTTATCGCTCTGCACCGTAAGTGTCTTCATTTCAGGTTCAAAAGCAAGTTCACATTTCCAGACACAAATTTCCTCCTTTACATTCAGCTGTAGCTGTGCCGTGGCCCCGTTCTGGCTGCAACCAACTATTCTGGTGTCCTATCATGTTCCCATTTTTTAGTATATTGTATAGAAATAAATCTCCATATACATTGTGTTTTACATTTTGTGTAGTTGACAAGAAATACAGTTTTGCATATGAAGTTTTAGTTGGAGCCATGCATGATCGTGTTTTGGGGACGGGAGGCGAACACTGTGGTGTGTGCAATTGGTAAGAGAAGAACCACGGATAGATTGGGTGAGGTATCAGATCATGGTTAAAACAGGTAACATGGGAGGCTCTTTTATGGGCCACCCCTCAGCCAGCTCCAATACCTTGCCTGATACTTAAGCTCGCGGTGTCAGGAAGCCGGGCAACGAGTCATTACACGCTGCCCGGCTTCCTGATTGACCAGAAAGCCGGCTTCATGCTCCCTCGTCACCTGATGACGAGGGAGTGTGCAGCCGGCTTCCTGCCCCATCAGGAAGCCAGGCGCCGTGTAATGACTCGTTGCCCGGCTTCCTGATTGGTCGAGAAGCTGGCCAATCAGGAAACGGGCATTGTGTCATTACACGGCGCCCGGCTTCATGATTGGCCAGAAAGCCGGGTCCATGCTCCCTTGTCGCCTGGTGACGGTATCAGTGCATCCCTATTCTCTTTGTTTCAGTTACTGTGTGGACATTACAAAAAAAGTCACACTTGGGGTTATTTAAGAATCTGAATATTTAGTTTTAAATGATTGTAACTATGCGGGCTTTGTTATGTTTATGAAGGCTCTGTTATTTATCTCTACATTGACTCTTAGAGAAAGTGAACTGAAAGGCAGGCAGGGGGCAAAGGACTGGTCACCAGTGTTGCCTCGGGTCTCCCTGCAGTTGATCTTTTCCCATTACTGACATACCATGCCTTGTTCTGCACTGTTTCTGTGTGGAGGCAGGGCTTTGCTTCCTCATGTCAGTGCCTTCAGCAAGGATAACAGTGAGCAGCAGAGTAGCGACATCACTAAATCTCACACTACATCTCCTAGGACTAGCAGTGAGAGGCAGCAGTGCCTTAAAGGAGTATTATGAGGCAAGTGATTTTCACTCAGCCTCATAATCTGAGCCGACGTGTGACAGTGAAACTGTCACAGGTCGGCTCAGTAGATCGTGAAGTGAGCAAACACATAGCGTCGCTCACTCACTTCTCGATCTATCCAAGTACTGTTTAGGCACAATTGATATTTATAATTGTTCCCTATAAGTTTAATCAAAGTTTATTAGGTTTATACTATGACAGAATCACAAAGAAAACAAGACATTGGCAAAAATTAAATGTAAGGTAAATTCACATTTCAGCAAGTACAAGTAGTCAATGTCAACTTTCACATGACTAGACATAGAACCCGGTGTCCAAAATTCAAAGCATAGTAGAACACCACCAAGAGGAACCGTAGAACAGGTCAATAGGAAAAGAGGAAGACTTGTCTAAGAGGGGCGAAAGACTAAGAAAGATGGGAGGAAGAAGAAAGAGAGATGGAAGAAGAAAAGAGAGGAAGACGTTGAAGAGGGAAAAAGGGGTGGAGCATGAGTGTCCCCAAGTCGGCAGAAGCATGATTAATTATAATACAGGATTTATATTGCGCCAACAGTTTGCGCAGCGCTTTACAATATAAGGAAGACATTACAATCACAATACAATTCAAGACAATATGGTAAGGAGGGCCCTGCCTGTGAGAGCTTACAATCTAAAAGATAAAATGTACAACTTCATTGAGGTAACAATACGCGATAGCAAAGATTATACCCAGTGAAGTAACAATGTGCAAGTAAAGTGGTGTAAAGTTTGAAGCGGATCCAGAGGTGCCGTGTTTTTTTTTTAACTGAGCGGAATTATCTCGAGAGGCGGATGTCGGTTCCTCCATCAGTCTCAAGTGATCAATTTTACAAAACCAATCCCCAGTGGATGAAGTACATGGAGATTGCCAGGGAGAAGGAATTGTACGTTTGGCTGCATTGAGAAGATGTGGAACTAACGTTGTTTTGTATGTGCCCTCCGACGTGTTTAGACAAGAAACTAGGCAAACCCATGAATCGAATGTTATAGGTATGCCTGCAATGATTTTTATATAATGGATAACACTGGACCCAAATTTTTTGATTTGCGGACAATACCACCAGAAATGAGAAACTACCCCCTATAACTACACCCCCCCCCACTCCCCCGCCAACAGGTAGGAGAAATGGAGCTCATACGTACAGGAGTGTAATACCATCGGGCTAAACATTTGTAAGCAGATTCCACGATTTGATTACTAAGAGACGAGGAGGAGGTGAGGCGTAGAATCTTGTCACATTAAATGTTCCCTGTAACAGCACATGTTTTATTTTAATTCAGTACATTTGTATTAAGTTTTTACATCACATGTTAAGAATGTTAACTAAACAGAACATAAGAAAACAAGAAAGAGACCATGTGCATAGAACACAAAAATAACTTCTATACATCTAATACAAAAGTGCCAGGAATAGTGCAAAGGATGCAACAGTCCAAATGTACAAATCCAATAAGACAATAGGATTTAAAGGAGATCTATGAGGTGAGTGATCTCCACTCATTCTCATAGTTAGAGCCGACCTGTGACAATTAAACTGGTCGGCTCTATCGATCGGGAAGTGAGCAGAAACATGCACGATCCGCTCACTTCTTGATCATCTCCCTACAGTTAGCGGTGACTGTCAGTCACCGCTCGCCTCGGGGATTCCCCTCTCCCATCCTCCAGCGCTGAGTGGAGGAACGGATGGGGAGAGGGTGGGCACAGCTGGTCCTGCCTCTAGATAGGCAGAGCCAGCTGTCACTCACGCAGCTGGGTGGATCTCGACAGTAATGTTTTGTATGTGCCCCTTGCGGAGAATAACCATCTTTATCCTGGTGACCAATGCCACAGGGATGGGAAATCTTATGGGGACAACCATCTAAGGCCCATGGCCGACTAGCTCAATGAAACTTGCCTGCTCCTGGTGACCAATGTCATAGGGACAGAAGGTCATAGGAATTGTCTAAGGCCCATGGCAGACTAGCTCAATGGAACTTACTTGTTCCTGGTGACCAATGTCATTGGGATAGAAAGTGATGGGAAATCTAATGGGGACAACCTTCTAAGGCCCATGGAAGACTAGCTCAATGGAACTTACCTGCTCTTATAGCCTTTCCTCTCTGTTGGCCGAAACATTACAGCATCTCACTATCCAAGGAGCAACACCTTCCTGGTCGAGGGAGAAACGCTGTAGAAACAGGCCAGTGGTTTCTTTTCCCTCCGAGTGAGTGTCGCCACCAGCATCCGGATCACTAGTGTGAATTAGACATGTGCGATTCGTTTCGTTACGAATCGAAATTTGTACGAATTTTCCTGAAATTCGTAAATTCGGAAGCATCCGAAATCCGAATTGCAGTTTCCGAATTATATCAGAAATACAAAATTCCGTTAACGAATTTCGGATCCAAATTTCTTTGAAACAGGAACTAATATTACCCCTGTAAATGAGGTTGAACAACATGACAATATATTTTTTTTAATCCGAAATACGGATCCGCTGCTGCTGAGAGTTGCATTACAATACAAGGGCAGGAAATACGAAATTCCATTACGAATATTCGTTATATTGAAGTTTAAAAGCAAAGTACATTTATATTGGAGTTGATGGTAGTTTTTTTTAATACGAAATTTGGATACGGAATCCGTTAACGGAATTCGTATTTCGGATAAAAAAACAACTACCACATCGACTCCAATATTAACAAAGGTATTTTTGCTTTTTAACTTCATCATAACGAATGTTCGTAAAGTTATGAAAATGTGCCGAAACTAACGAAAATTCGTATTTCGTACGAATCCGAATTGAGTTTCGGATACGAAATAACGGATATTCCGGAACAGAACAAATTTCTTCACGGCGCACAAGTCTAGTGTGAATTTGGTGCAAAGCCCATATCACACTAGCAATTTTGTGTGTCCAGCAACAGGATTGCTAAAGCGTGAAGTGAAGAAACTCACCGGTTTGCATGTCACTCTCTTGCTGGCTGGATGAGCGAGCTAGTCCTTCACTGGCGAATAGGCTGCAGAATATCAGTTACAAGAGAACGGCACCTTGTTCATCAAGCCAGCAAAGGAGTGACGCAAGCAGGTGAGTATTTCGCCACCCTGCTTTGTCCTGCATAGGGATCCTGCCAGTGGAGAGTTGTTCCTGTGACAGGATTGTTAGTCTGGCCTGATCACAAGAGAAGATTACTTCTCACATCCTACTATGTTTCTGAGAGGGGAAATTAATATAAAACAAGAACAGGACACAGCAAAAAAAAAAATAGTTGATACAGGTTGTCATAATCCTCTACCCTATGACAAGAAATAAACAATGCTTTGATCTACTTTATGTGCAGACTCTGGGTTTATACACACACATGTGTCAGATGGAAAAGCAAGTCAAATGTATTATCCTTTTTCTTGCATTACCTTGTTTCTGAGTTGCTCTGAAACTTTTTTTTTTCACATTGGTATGTGGAATAACAGCAGTTCAGATGCAAATGTACACAAACCCTACCAAAAAAAATAGACAACCGAACAATCTTTTGACTCCACAATTACAAATCTGACTGTTGCGGTCTCCTAAGTGTGGCCGTGTATAATTAATACAAGCACTTACCAAAACGGCTTTCCTGGCATTAAAAAGCAGTTAGCTCAGGAAATGGCTTATTAGCCGGCGATACGCTTGGAAAAGATAACCCTCCTGTATTGAAATTGTGCTGTTAAGTAACAGTAGCACAGGAAGCATGCTGATAGGAAGAGAGAGCACAGTGACAAAGAGATGAGCTCATCATGGCCCTGCGGGGCCTTTCTTAGTCTGGGGATGGATCCAGGATGAAGTGTGGTCAATGATACCGGCCATCAGACTGAGGACATCTACCAGCAGGAAAAAAGTGTTGGGGTGGAAATCTTTGGATTGAAGGTGAATTTTGCAGCAAAAGCTGATTTTGTTAATGTATCTTTCAGAGGATTATCCATGTTTATCTGACATTCTGCTGGAGTTCTGCTTTAAAATAAACATTCTATAACAATACCAGATGTGGATCTAGTTTATTATAAATACAAATCTCTGGGCTTTACAATTGCAGCTCCTAATAGTCACATAATAGACCTGGATTTATAAAACTAATGGAAATAAAGATTGAAGACAATCCATTGATTTTATTTTAATGGTCAATGTTTAGTTCTCTCCACTTCTATGCACACAGGTTGTTGCTTTGTTCCCAATCTGCCCCCAACAAAGGCTGCAGTACTCCTGGTCTCCGCCAACATGGCGCCTCTCCTCCCACGGGGGGCGGGGATCCACTTTAGGAGTTGGGCCTCTAGCGGACGGCTCCCCGCACAATGGTCCTGGCTGGTTCGGCGTCTCAAGCCCCAGCCAAGATGGCGGCCGTGAAGGCTGTATAGAGACGCTTTGTCCTCCGGGCGGAAGCTGCACTTCTGTCGCTCAAGATGGCGGCTGGCATGTACCTGGAGCATTATTTGGACAGTGAGTGATGGGGAGAGGGGCAGTTATTTTTAACATGTAAAGGTGTCCTATCCTGCCGAGGGAGGCATGTAATTATGCCAATGGGATAGGGGGGCTGAACCTGCAGAGCATTACTCCCTCCTGGGTTCTGCAGACCATTACTCCCCACTGAGTGTGCAGTGCATTACCACTTCCTGTGGCTGCAGAGCATTACCACTTCCTGTGCCTGGGTGTATTGCTCCCTCCTGTGGTTGCAGGACATTGTTGCCTCCTGGGCCTGCAGAGCATCATTCCATCCTCTTTCTGGAGAGCATTGCTCTGTTATGGGCCTGCAAAGCATTGCCCCTTCTGTTCTGCAGAGCATCTCTCCCTCCTGGGACTGCATTGCAGGTAACAACTGGGTACCTGTACCAGATCACACAATCCAACCATTGAATGGCCATAGATAATGCGGATTGATGCAGTCTATAGTCGATAGTGCTATAGAGGGTATGGCGGTATATGGGGATCTGATATAGATGAACACATTTAATTTATTCCAGAAAAGGTAAAAAGTCCAACATTTTTGGGGGGAAATTAGTGTGTATCGTGATTCTGCCTAATGATGCCGAATTGCCCCTGGTACAGCCTCAAGAGACAAGATAGAGAGATACAAAGTAACATTGTTTATAAACATTGTACAGACTGAATCTCTCTATCTCCCCCTGATCAATGGTACTTTGTATCTCTCTATCTCCCGCTGATCAATGTTTATAAACAATGTTACTTTGTATCTCTCTATCTCCCTCTGGTCAATGTTTATAAACAATGTTACTTTGTATCTCCCTCTGATCAATATCTATATACAATGTTACTTTGTATCTCCCTCTGATCAATGTTTATAAACAATGTTACTTTGTATCTCCCTCTGATCAATGTCTATATACAATATTACTTTGTATCTCTATCTCCCTCTGATCAATGTTTATAAACAATGTCAGCTGGTTGCTCAGTCCTCTTGTTATAAAATCTGTATGCAGAGACCTGATTGCTTATGTAATAAAGGCTCCTTGTTCGCAGGTATAGAGAATTTGCCTTTTGAACTGCAGCGGAACTTCCAGTTGATGAGGGACCTTGACCAGAGGACAGAAGGTGAGTGCGTGTGATGATACTGACGCTGTATTGGGATTGTATCATGTGGTCAGCTCATAGCGCAACTCTTTGTAGTGCAGGGGTATGCCCGCTGCAAAGGTAATACAATTATTTTGCTGGAGTTCTTCTTTAAGTAATGACAAAGTTATTGCCAAATAAACAAGCCTGTAGCAGAAATGTAAAAATTGATCTGGTGTCTATAGGGATGTACATAGGGGGTGTGAGAACTGAAGTGGTTAAAGGGGATCTGTCGTGAAGCAGAGGCCTGTGTGATTATGCCCTAATTAGAGTATTCATTTCAAATTAGAATGCAGCACAAATCAGGGTTTGGCTGCTTCCATCAGAGTGTAATCGCAGAGAAAAGATTGTTTCATGACACCTTTTTCCTGTGAATGTGCTGAAGTTTAGAACATGTAAATGAATAGTGTAAAGCTGCCCATACACCTTACAATTATCTGCACATTTTCTGTGGTCAGATGGAAAAAGTGCAACAGATTGGCCCAGGTGGAGATTACTCCATCCACACAGTGTAGCGTAGATGGAGGAATCTGTTGCACCTTTTCCATCTGAACAGAGAAAATCTGCAGATAATTGTAAGGTGTATGGCCAGCTTTAGTGGGCTCGCTCTGATTGTCAAATCTTTCTTCACTCTTTTAGATTTGAAGTGCCAAATAGACCGGCTGTCCTCTCAGTATATGAACAATGCCCGCACACTGAGCTCAGAGGAAAAGCTGCAGCTCCTTCGACAGGTACAGGACGCCTACGGCAAGTGTAAGGAATATGGAGATGACAAAGTACAGCTGGCCATGCAGACATACGAAATGGTGAGTGATTGAAGAAAGCGTGGCAGACACTTTGAGGCTGATTTATAAATCTTCCACCCGGTGTATAGCTGGCGAATGTCCTTTGCACAGTACTACTGCCACTAGATGGAGCCGAGGAACATGGTAAAGTAGTATGCTCAATGCGTTTTTTCCGAGGGCTACCTGGCTGTATCCCAATGGATACGCGCGACAAAAACGTCCCAAAGAAGCTCCTGTACTTCTTTGGGCGTAGGGCGTTTTGTAGCGCGTTCATACGGCCTGTAATACGCCCAGGTGTGAACCATACCCGTAGGAAATAATGGGATTTCGGTGTTTGAGCGTTTTGCAGAGCTTAGGAACACGCCCAGGTGTGAACCGGGCCTTAGTCTTCGTGGGACCTTAAAAGAGGGAGCTGGTAAGACATTTGTGACCCGTGTCTAGCATCTGTCCCCAACCGTGGGGCCCAGCATTGTGCACTAAGCCAGATGCCAAGGTCTTTCTAATCCATGTTAACCGAAAAGAAAATGATTCAGGCAGTAAAATATACTATTCCCAATACTTAGAGCTGGCATGGGACGATGCAGCTGTCGCATTCTGCTGGCTCTGTATACAGGGAGCCGAGCGATCATCTGTTTGCTAATTACACAGCTCATAGTCTCCTCCCTATAGACAGAGGTGACTTGTCAGTCACCTCCCCCAGCAGAATATAAATCAATACCCAGATATTACTTTATAAAGGTGGCATTGACACCATCACTGTGCAGAGCTGTAGGTAGACCAGCAATTCATCCAATATAGAAAACTAGAGGGGGTGGCAGAGACAAGACCAGTCACCCTGCACAACAAGAGAGCAGCAAGGAAGGAAGCTCCAAGTCTCACACTGGATTATTGCACCGATCTGGAAGAAATACGCAAAGCTCACCAAGATCCAAGATTCAGGGTGATGCAAATGACAGCTGCCAGCGCTGGAAGAAAGAGGGGGGGTGCAAATCTATAATGTGCAAGTATGCTAAGAGCTGCTGACCCTCAGCCACACTACAATTCCTGTGTAAAGCTGGCCATACATCTTACAACCATTGCAAGACTTTTGACTGCATGCAATGCCGCACGGGCAGTGTGCGCTTGCGGCATTTGTCTCCCGAGAACGCCACTAACCCACCGACATTCGTATGATTCCCGGCGGGTTTTCAAGCCTGCTCGGGAGCCAAAAGACGTGCGACCATACAGTAGAAACGGTCGCGCGCCTTCCATACACCTGCCGATCATCGTACGATTGAGGGATTATCGTACGATAATCGGCAGGTGTATGGGCACCTTAAGGCAGGTTTGCTTTAGTGGTTCGTGGGTTTTACTTGTTGCTTTCTCTTTTTGTAAATGTTTCTTTATCCTCTCCTGTCCTTCAGGTAGATAAACACATTCGGAGGCTGGACACGGACCTTGCTCGGTTTGAAGCTGACCTGAAGGAGAAGCATATCGAGTCCAGTGATTACGACAGCTGCTCTAGCAAAGGGAAAAAAAGTGAGCGGCTGACCTTCAATTTGTTCTCTTGACTTCAGCAAAACTCATACTCTGTGCTGATTGCAGAGCTGTAGGTCTGACTCATCATAGCTCTGCAGAGAGATCACTGCTTCCACATAGAGAGCAAGGGTCCTTCTTTGCAGCATGCTGGTGTGGGACAAGCTTTTCTATTCCTGGATTATGCTTAGTTTTTTTTTTTTTCTTCTTCCATTTCGCCCAAGCATACTTAAAACTGCGACCGCCACTCCCCCCTCTCAGCCCACTCCCCCCTCTCAGCCAAATCAGTGGCAGCATTTGTGGCCCTGTGTGACGTATAGCTGCAGGGTGGGGACTGCACCTCCCTTCAAATGATTACGCTGGATTTGCAGTCAGTCAGTTTTGAGCAGGATGGATGAATGTAAAAACAGCCAGTAAGATCTATGTGCTGCCAATTGACAGGTTTGGCATTTTGGAGTGTCGCTTATAACTAAACTATCACTTTCAGATGGATTTACCCTTAAATCGGGTAATGACCACAAACTGGGCAGTTTTGTTACTACATAATGTTGTTAGTGGCTGCTATTATGATCTAATTATCCAACTTACCCCATTGGTTTCAGGTCATGAATTTGCTGAATCAACCCCAGCTTCCCGTTCTTGTCCAAAATCATGCCTTTTGTCCTTAAAGTCAAACTTTTTTCCCCCTTCCCTATCCTGCTGTACGAACTTGCCTTAAATGATGTCTCTTAATCCGATCTTCTTCTTTCCCGTAGTTTTTAGCCGTCCCTCCAGCGCTGGTGCAGGTCTCTAATCCAGCGCTGACTCCTCTGTCCTCTTCTCTGATGTCCCACAGAGTCTGTGTGGGTGCACGCTGCTCCATAGACTTACCTTGTGTCTCTCCGGCCAAACATCTGAAGTGCGCATGCGCCCGTCCCAAAATCCTTTGCGGCCGCACAAGACTTCAGATGTTTGGATGGGAGCACGCAGCGAAAACACAGGTAAGTTGTTTTTTTTAAAGCCTTTTTAAAAGGTTTTTTTAAAAAATGTTTTTGCATATATCTACCGCTTGCTAACAGTAGATGTATGCAAAAACACGCAAGGGTTTAATAACCCTTTAGAGGAGAATTATGAGGGGAGTGCTTTTCACTCAGCCTCATAATCTGAACCGACCTGTGACAATGAAACTGTCACCGTTCGGCTCAGTAGATCGGGAAGTGAGCGAACACATACCATCGCTCGCTCACTTCTTGATCTATCCGTGCAGAGAGCCGTGACTGTCACTCACGGCTCCTTGCAGGGATTCCCCCCCCCCCCTCCCCTGTCCGATCCTCTATCGCTGACTGGCGGAACGGACGGGGGAGGGTACAGCTGGCTCTGCCTCTAGATGGACAGAGCCAGCTGTCACTCATGCAGCTGGGTGGATCCAGACAGAATTGTCAGGATCCGTTCCGTCTGCGGCGTCTCAATATACCGCGAGCTGTAGCTCGCTATATACTGAGCTTTGGGTGACGGGAGGACGCTAGTTTGTATCCTCCCGTGACCCTTAGGAGAACTATGGGGAAGAGCCCTGACCCCATAGTTCTCCTTTAAAGCTGAACTCCAGGCAGAAATCAAAGACACAAATGAATTCAGCTCTATAATCACCAATATATCATTAAATGCAGTTTTTTTTAATGTAAGCAGTGTAAGTACCTGCATCTGACCTGGTATCAGCCTGTTGCAGCCCTTGACAGAGGTGGCCTGATCACTGTGCTGTTTCTCCTTTCACTGTCTAGTCACAGGCTGGGGGTGGGTTCAACAGCAAATACTGTTTTGTGTTATTTTACCTTTTTATCCGGCAATTCATTTCTATCTTGCTATTTTTGGCTTGTGATCTGCTTATTTATTAGGCTAACACTCTGCTTATACTCCCTGCAGAAGGCAGAGGTCAAAAAGAGAAGAAAGTCCCAAAAGTTAAGTCAAAGGTCAAGAATTCTGACGACGAGACGGCGAAAATCGGACAGAAGAAAATCAAACTTGTCCAGACGTGAGTTATCTGTTGGGTTTATCGATTGGCGCAATGTATCTTGTACCAGCCCTGACCTGTTTCTTCCCCCTCCCCCTAGGGCAGAATATGGGGCACCGGCTACTAACTTCAGCAAAGTTCACCCATCCGATGTGCTCGATATGCCAGTTGACCCCAATGAACCCACTTACTGTCTGTGCCATCAGGTGTCCTATGGAGAGATGATTGGCTGTGATAACCCAGATGTAAGTGTGTGTGTGTGTACATAGCTCTTCTGACACATGAATGTAGTTCATGATGTTTAGAACAGACTAAAGTAAAACCGCTATTTAACTTTATATCCGTGCTCACTGCTGACCCGACTCTATATCCGTGCTCACTGCTGACCCGACTCTATATCCGTGCTCACTGCTGACCCGACTCTATATCCGTCCTCACTGCTGACCCGACTCTATATCCGTGCTCACTGCTGACCCGACTCTATATCCGTGCTCACTGCTGACCCGACTCTATATCCGTGCTCACTGCTGACCCGACTCTATATCCGTGCTCACTGCTGACCCGACTCTATATAACCATGCTTACTGCTGACCCGACTCTCTATATAACCATGCTCACTGCTGACCCAAATCTCTATATAACCATGCTCACTGCTGACCCGACTCTCTATATAACCATGCTCACTGCTGACCCGACTCTCTATATAACCATGCTCACTGCTGACCCGACTCTCTATATAACCATGCTCACTGCTGACCGAATTTGAATCAATGCTCACTGACCACTGCTGACTGGTTGCTGTAGACCATACCGACCACTGTTCCCCTCTTGCAACATTATAGAATAGATAGTTGGTGTTTGTTCTCCTAGTTCGTGTGCATCTCTTGCTCAGTCTGAAATGTACCATGTCATGTGTTTGTGTACATTGTTCTCACTGACTGTCATTGTTCTTCTGCAGTGCTCTATTGAATGGTTTCACTTTGCTTGTGTCGGTCTTGCTACAAAACCTCGTGGAAAATGGTGAGTGTGATATGACATGCTGATTATGTCACTGTCCTTTCATTGTGCTCATGTATCCTATATTATGCTTTGTTCCACCCTTCAGTGTGTCTTCTGTTAACACCCCTCAGTCCATCTTCCTATATTACCCCTCAGGCAATCGTTTGATAAAACCCATCAGTCCCTCTTCTGATAACACCCTTCGGTCCCTTTTCAAAAATAACATTCTTTGGGCCCTTTTGCGATTACACTCTTCGGCACCTCCTTCTGATAACCCCCTCAGTCCCTCTTTGAATAACACCCCCCATTCCCACTCTCGATTATGCCTCTCGGTCCATCATCTGATTGCCCCTCAGTCCAGCTTGCAATAGCACCCCTTGGTCCATCTTAGTCATACTCCTCCTCATCTTGCAGTCCCACTTGTGATTCCTTACCAGCACTGTCCAGTAACATATCTCTAATTGCATCGGTTTTTGCCTTTCCTTCCTGCTCTTTAGTACCACCCTTTCCGGATCCTGTTCCATATCGCCATTCTGTCTTCCCTCCTCCGTTCCATGCTTTCCCCTTTCTTTGTCCATTAACACCACCATTCTGAATCTCCACTTTCCATTCTTGTCCTCACATCGTGTTGTTGGTCTCATTCCATCACTTAATCCTTTGTGTTTACAGCGCACCCTCCTCTCTTCTCCCTAGGTACTGTCCACGCTGCTCCCAGGAAAGGAAGAAGAAATAAGCACAGCACAGGCTCCCCCAGGGGGGAGAGCAGCGAGTATTCGAGTTGTGTGGTACCTGCATTTCTCTGTCTGTCTCAGGAGGAGCGAGTGCTGACTAGCTGGATGGGAGATAACGGCCACGTTCATGACAGTATTAGACTTTTTATCTCTCGGACCCGGTGTTGGTTATTGAGGCCGCACACCGTGCAGGGTCTGCCTCCAGTTCTTATCTGGTCTTCTGTCTTTCTTATCCCCCATGCCTTCCTTGCTGATCTCTGCCAGCCACCATGTTCAGGCTTATTTATCAAGGCAAAACCAAGAGCAGCAAGGATATGAAATGCAGCGGGCCCATAGCAACCATTCAGAATATACAAATCATGTAGAGTGGTCAGATTGCTGATTGGTTGATACAGGATATTGGTCCCTGCCTTATTAGATGCCTCTATGTTTCCTGTTCTCCATCCCATTGTATAATACTCCCAACGGTTCTCTGTCACTTTACCTTATTGTTTAACCTTCTCACCCCTTATAGACTTCTCTCTCGCCACATGAACTACCTCCAAAATGTTCTATTCCTGTTACAGGAGGTCCTGCTAGGACGTTTCTTTGAAAGTGACAGCATTGCTATGATTTTGTTTCCTTTTTATATGATTTCTGGAAAGCGGCGGTTACAAAATGCCTCCATTGCGCCCAATAGAAAACACTACAAGTGCCATCACACTCCTCAGTTTCCTCCTCCTTGCGCTCGGATTGAATGTTTACATCTCCTTGTATGTTATCCCCAAATTCTCCCTCTCCGCTTTAACTTCAGTCTTGCCATTGTCATAACATTTACCCCCCAAAGCCGGTGTAGGCATCCTTGGCACTCCAGCTGTGCTGACACTACAGATCCCATTGTGCCTCTGGGAGTCATGCCTGTGGCTGTCAGTCGTGCAATGCCTCATGGGACTTTTATTTCCACAACAGCTGGAGGGCCGGGGTTGCCGACCCCTGATCTAAAGTGTATGCCTGGGCCAAATACATCTCTGCAATACCTGCACATTTGTCCATGTTTTATCCTGCTGCCTCTGCTGCACTGAAATCCCAAGGTGTGTTGTCAGCCCTGGGCCGGTTCTCCTCTGCTGGACTACAGAGCACATTCCCGCTATGTTATAGAGATGGAAGGGGAGATGTTCTGTATGCTTTAAGCATGGATGCCTCTTGTTTAGCCCGTGGGCTGAACGAGAGAAGGTTAGTAGATTCCTCCATCTATGCTAAATAGAATCTGCATGGTCAGCTGTTGTTTTTAGACAGGCGCTGAATCCTCTGCTTCCGAATACCTGAACAGTGACTGTATCTGAGAGGATGTAGTCACTCTTCATCTGATAATTTTCCACCCGGCTGAGTTAATTATTAAGAGGCACTAAACTCTGGAATTCTTAAAAATGGTTTCAAGTACCTTTTAACTATTAACAGAAATGTATCTTATTTGTGTATCACTCGGCTGTAGATCCTCCAATCATCTCTGAATTGGTGCTGACACTGTCCCTCCTTCTGGAGGGGGGCTACGTCTGTTCCCAATGGTCCCTGTCTGTGTTGTAAAGTAGTCACCGCTCCAAGCTCACTCCTGGGATGGACTACAATCTCACGTTTAGTTTACTAATTTGTGTAACACACACACACTTTTAGCCAATTGGCTGCAGTCACTGTTTGGGTATTCGGACAGCAGCACACATGCCACTGTTGGACTACAATAGGGTGGGGGGAGGCTATCCCCCAGGTTGTTAACATGGATAGGTAAATCAAGAGTTTTTTCTTATTTAGTCCCTTGGGTCTGAATAAGAAAATAGTATCCAATGTATGGCCAGCTTGGTCTACGCAGTTGGAACATTTTGGGTTAGCCTACCAGAAGCCATTTTGCCCAGAAGCCATCAGCTTCTCTATTAGCTCATCCTACTCCACTGCCATTGTCTCCCCGTGTCTTTTTTTTTTTGTCTTCTGAACTTTCTCTGAAATTTGGTGCTGAGATAATCGTCTTCCTCTTTGTACTTAAAATATCAGCTGTCTACTTTACACTCACAAATCTCCAACGCGGTTGCAGTGTGTGTATCTATGTCAAGATTTCAGTGGTGCCCGATTTATGAAAAGTGAAACAGTAGCGCAGCGGCGAGCCGTGTGTCTGGCTTTCATTTTTGATTACACACTTGCTTTAGTTGCAAAGTGGCTTGCGGCCAATCAGGTTTTAGTTTACTGAAGCCGGGTCAGAGAAAAATCAGTTGTTTGGGTCATATAGCATACTGGCCTGTGCTTGCCCTCGTTGCTTTTATGCATTGGATTGCTTAATGAGCCTGCGTGTGTGTGTGTGTGTGTGTGTGTCAGAGGACTCGGTATTTATTTTGGAACAATTCTGCTCATCAGCTGGTGCTCAATAATCCTCATGATCCTGAGCCGACTGGATTGCCAAATCGATCGTTCTGCCGATTTAATTTACTGTAGCAATCCCGCAAAACACTAATTTGTACATCTTTTGGGGTCTCTCTCCGGTGGCACGAATTCTCTCCTTCCTCCCCATCTTGTCCTTCTCTAACAATCTCTGAGTGCACCTTTTCACAATCAACTGGTTTGTTTGGTTTTTTTCTTTCCCCCCTATATTCCCAATAAAAAAATGAAAAGTAAATCTCGGGGTGACTTTGTGTTTTCATCAATACAGCTCTTAACGGACGTTAGGCAGGGATGGGCAAACTCCGACCCTCCAGCTGTGGCGAAACTACAAATCCTATGATGAATCTGTCCCCTGGTAGTCATGCCTTTGGCTGTCAGAGTCTTGCAATGCCTCATGGGATTCGTAGTGTCACCACAGCCGGAGGGCCAGAGTTTGCCCACCCTTGTTTTAAGGGGTACAGCGCAGTTTGTAAGGTGTCTTATCTTCTTTTAGGAGTAGAGAAAGCGGCAAATGTAGTAAGCGCACTAGTCTGGTGATGTGAGGTGCGTTTAAGTAACTAGTGGTAGGGGGCGTGCAGCCTCCTCGAGCCGGGAGAGGGACCCTGCTTGTGCACAATGAAAAGGAATTGAAGCGCTTCCTATTCAATTCCTTATCTTCTTTTAGGGGCGTTCACATGGACCTGAATGAAGGGATAAAAGCAAAACACAAGCTGATCTCAAACTGTCCTTAAAGCTGAACTGATTTAAAGCTGAACTTCGGCCTTAAGGTGGCAATACACTCTACAACTATCGCAAGACATTAGTCTTGCGATGGTTGTACAGGGATTAAAAAAACGTACGATCTGCCCATCTTGGACAGGCAGATCGCACTCTCGATCATCGCAAGCCCGCCCCCCTGAGGGGCGGGCTTCCGATGAACGCAATGCTGAACGGGCAGTGTGCGCGTGTGCACACCGGCCCGTTCGGCATTTGTCTTCCGAGCACCGTTCTAACCAGCCGAGAATCGTACGATTCCCGGCTGGTTTTCGAACATGCTGGTTCGACGGAAGACGTGCGACCGTACAGTAGAAGCGGTCGCACGTCTCCGTTCACACTGCTCGATTCTCGTACGATCGTGGGATTTCCCGCGATTCTCGTACGAGAATCGAGCAGTGTATGGGCACCTTTACCTTCGGTCGTGCACAGTTGTACTGGCTCACCCCTGGACTAAAATTGGATTCCCAGTGTGCTTTGTGTCAAATCAAAGCTTACTTGAAACAATCCCTTTTATGTAGTGAGCGCTGCCTTCCGTCCGTCACTTCCAACAACTTCCTGGATTCCCAGTGTGCTTTGCGTCTCTTTCCCGGCTGCTCGCTGTGATGCAATCTCCATTTCTTATGACTGCATATCCCATCATGCATTGCTTCCAGCAAGCAATGATAATGTTACATTGTTCAGAATTGAGTTGTAGTTCAGACAACCGACTCTGTGAGAGTGGTGACACCAGGAAGTCCATATTCACAAGGCTGAGTGAGATGGTGTCACTGCCTTGAGGAAGTCCATCCTATGGGTATCTTCAATAAGTTTACAAACTTCTACATGGATGTAATTATTAGTGGGAGAGATCTTATGGAAATTCAATATAGAAATACAGATTTATTTTTAGTTTTTCATCACAGATAACCTTTAATAATTCAAATTAAAGTGTTTTTTTTATTTTTTTTTATTTCCCCTAAATAGATCATAATAAATGACAGATGACATCATTTTAGAATGCAGAAATGAAAGTCAGTACAAACAGTCAGCTGGCATTACCAGGAAGACATGTTATCAGCTTGTACTGTCCCTTTTAAATAAGTCTGTGCTGCTCTGCAGCCTTAGGAACGCACCAGACTGTCCCGTGTCCCTCCTGCTCATGAAAGCTGCCATGTGTTAGGAAGCAGTGCGGCATGTCACATGTGTTCAGTCTTTGTGATCTGGCATCACGCAGGGTTCTGTACAAACAATTTAAAGCTACAAGCACATAGCTATATATGGGGAATGCGCATGTCGCTGTAATGAGAGTTGCATGCAAAGTAATGCTTCCATATTTACTGCCAGGGACTGGATGGGGGATCGCCCAAATAAAGCACCTCTGCCATATCAGTAAAGCGATATCTGTAAGTACATAAGAGAGGGAATACTTGCCTTTCCCGCTGCCCATGCAGCTGAACCCCATGAAAAATGCCCCCCTGATCCTTCCGGGAGTGTCAACCTTTTGGGCTGCCTGCTGCTCCTACTAGTTCTTCCTGCTGACCTCCATGTGAGTACAGGGGCCAGCAGTGGAGGACGTTAGTTATGTGCTAAATAACCTAAACAGTGGCTGGCAACTTCAGCTGTTGTGGAACTACAAGTCCCATGAGGCATTGCAAGACTGACCGTTACAGGCAGCGACGGCACCAGGGTGGGTGTCACCCGGTGCGGCCACTGTGCATGCAATTAAGACGTCCTCATGCGCGACGATGTACTTCACTGCCAGCAGCCATCTTGGTGATGGACACTGACAACAAGAGGAGAGGATATTGAGCCGACGGGATCAGGTATGCCACTGGGTCCCTCCCTCTCTCTCGTTCCTCTGTCAGGCTCTCGGTCCATGACCGAGTGTTGGACTTTTAAGAGGGGTTGACACCACACAGGGCTGCGTGCAGCGTGCACGGCCGTATCGGGCAGCTCCCGAGAAGGACAGGAGCTGCGTGGTAATAGTACGGCCATGCAGCGGCACGGAGCTGTACGTGCCGGACGATTCCTGTGCGAATGAGCACTAAAACAAAACTAAAAGCATGGTACCCCTGCAGCAGCAGAATGGACATTTATCCGGGACCGAGCGGCGCCCATGTAACGACATGTGAGTGCCCTGCAGTACCCCAGGACCAAGCGGTGCCATACAGGAAATGGAAAGAATGGAGCAAGTGTCCTTCCACCCGAAGAGGACCGCCAAAGCCGGTGAACGTGGACGGGCTGAGTGCCATTTTTTTTTTAATGGGGTGATGAAATCTAA